TCCATCACTGGCAACTCAGGCAAATGGGCCCTGTATCACTTTTCGATATCAACTCTCTTTGCGCTGAAATCACAAATTAGAAAACTGAAATAGTACACCGCCAACTATAATAAAGATATTTTAACAATGGGGACTATTCAATTCGGTGGTGTGGGAAAAACAGCAAAACATCTAATTACAAAACAAACGGAATCACATTTCATTGGTAATTAAATATTAAATATGTAATTATGCAATTTCCGTCCATTATAGCAAAGCTCAAGTTAAACCGGTCGATTTGAAGTGGAACAATTGACGACACCCGTAAATTGTTTCGAATTCGGGCTGGCCAATCGGAGCGCTGTTGTCAGAGTAATGATTTGGCGGAATAGTTTTCAATCAAATTAAATGACATTTCGTCTCTATTTCTGGTTATATACTCGATGGTTCAAGGAAAGGAACTCGGAATTTGTATTGAACAAACCATAAAATATTGGGCCACAAAAGTTCTCGAGGACAAGTTTGAAATTTTTAAACGACGGTTATCGAGATCGCTAAAAGAATTAGCAAGTTAAAGTGGTGATGCACCAATTTAACTTTTACATGGGAATGAAAAGCTCAACGAACGCTTCGTTTTATGTATTGTCTAGTACATCATTAACTTCCGGCATCAAAAAAACGTGATCTGTCGGATGAAGGAATCAGATCGACAGATTTTTACTTTTTAATGCTCTGCTGAATGAGTCGGTGAATCAATCTACTACGATAAAGTTACTTTCATTTTATCATGGACCAATTGGTCCATGATTTTACCAATAATCTGAGTACGGAGTACAAAAGTCATTCACCCCTAGTTTGCCATCCTTAGAGGTGGAGGAGGTATTTTCTTCAAATTTAAATGGGACCACTATGGAGGTATCGTCTTTCCAACAAAAAAAGAATCATCAAAATCCTTTCACAAATGGGTTTGTATATACAAAAGCCGGAGTTATCTATATATATTATAAAAAAAGGGAAAACAGTCGAATTGAGAACCTCCTCCTTTTTTAAGTCGGTTAAAAACAACACAACGTTTTATTGTCTCTAATTAAAATTCAACTTCAAAAAGTTGTGCAGTGGTTTGTTAGGTTATACATAACAATATCTGAAGCCAGGCTGAACCTACGATTAGTTTTAACATGGCTATACATTTCCAGAAAGAAAATTATTGCAACATTTTTTTATATTTAAAATTAGTTTTATACCGTGAAGGCTGACAAGCTGCATACATTTGAATTTGCAGAATCTAATTATCTACTGGCAACATGTTAAGTCAAAAGTCTTGCGCCTTGTCAAACTCGTTGGCTGTAATTTTATTATCCAAGTCTAAAATTATACATATACAGTGAAACTAAAAAATAAAGTATTAATTATATAATATTAATTATTATCGTTAATTATTTCTACCACTATAGTACAAATTTATTATTAGTATAGTGGACTACTTAAAAAATTGATCAAGCTCCTTTATTTTCGAGGGCCATGAATATATTCAGCAAGGTTATTTATCATTATTACGATATTTTTACTACAAAAGCAACATAAACCGTCAAACGTTCCAGTGATGCAAGCATCCACTCTAAGGAGTGGTTTTTATGGCCCAACGCGGTTTGAGTACCTTACACAATTTCCAAGGGTTGTGGACCATGTTCTAAATGCACAATTATTTCATCACGAAAAAATATTTTGACAAATGTACTAGCATAGGATATAACAGTTAAGAGCACGTCATGCTTGACACTTGGGGCTTTCGACCTCTATTATCGTAGGCGATATTATAGAGTTGAATACAAAACCTAAGTGGCATGTACAACCGTCAGATGAAACCATTCTATTTACCTATTTTATAGTTACATCATGGACGTCATGGAAATGTCAAAATAGCAAATTTCTGACGCAGCCCTTCCACGCTTTGGTCAGCTAATGGATTAATGTGATGCTGAATGATAGTAAATATGTACATTATACAATATGGGCACGTTTTGATTGTAAAATAACTCTAAAAAAGAGTAGATTTTAAAGTTACTCCATTTTACTCAAGAGTAGATTTTAAAATGACTATGTTTTACTCAAGAGCAGATTTTAAAATTACTTTGTCTTACGAGTAGATTTTAAAACAATTCTGTTTTATTCATGAACAGATTTTAAAATATGTACTCTATTTTATGCAAGAGAACATTTGAAAATAACTGTTCTACTCAAGAGTAGATATTAAAGTATCTCTGTAATAGAAAAGATTTTAAAAACTAAATACATGTTTTAATATCTAAAGAAAGACTAGGTACCAGGAAAAGGATGTCATCATCGGCACCATCTACTTATCAATAGAAAATTACAAGGTCACGAGCACGTCAAAATTGACACTTAACATTTAAATTGAACATAGTGCGCCGCTTGCGATAAGATCCGACTAAAGTCCAAAGTGTCAAAGTTGATGTGTTCTTGACTGTACATAGACAAGCCGCAATAGGACTGATATCCATTTAACAATCTCCTCTTTCTTAATATTGCCTCAATGGCCTTGCTCAGTCATTTCCTGAGCACACAGCAAAAAATTCCAACAGATTTACAGACTAGAAATTAAATTACATTTGAATAATATATTATCCAGGTAGGTTTTAACTATTTCGGCCTTAATTACTATTAACATTCAAGAATGTGTGATATCTTTTGTATCTTTGATATCTTACAACAAATTTAACTTTGTAAATTATACAACAATCTGATTTAAAATTTAAATATGCATATTAACCATAGGTATCGGGTCCTTTCGCCAGAATTGTAAGGTTTATTTTTGCAGTAAATGAGTACAGAGTCAAGAGCCCGTAACGCTTGATACTTAATTCTTCTTTACGTCAGTTATCTATGATAAGAACCATCCAAAGGTCAAGATTGCATTGGTCTTGACTTGACAAATCCAAAAAAGTTGACACAAGGTACCTTTACCAGCGATCAGACATTTCCGCTTATAATTGAAATTACTTACAATTATAAATAAACAGTTTAGTATGGTTATTATAGACAGAATGGAGGTGTACGACAATATTATTAAACAAACTTGATAATACAACGCGGGAAATCCTTTCTTCGGCGCGAGTCGCGTCTCGCCGCATAAGATCAGGTTGAGAAAAAACATGGAGCGAGCAGCCGTTTTAGCAGCACGTTTTCGATTGTAACTTTTTTAAATATTCTGTACTAAATGTTTGTCATGGGTGCCAAAAGTAAAATAAATACTTGCATATTGATATTGGAACTTTTTTCTCCTACAAAGCCACGGAAACAAAAACTGTGATGAAAACAAACAAACACGCATCACAAATGGCGCCCAACGTGGGGCAGACATCTTTTTTACATACAAACAAAAAGATAATTGTAATATGTTGTGTTAAGCAATTCTGTTTTAAAATACACTAATTCTTTTTACAAATAATTGGCGATGCGAGTAGTAGTAAGATTTTGTCTTTCGGGACAGGTTAAAAAAGGTTTCCTACAATCATTTATTTCCCGACATTTTTTCGCGTGAAATCGTTAGAATCGTTATCTTACAGTGGCCATTTTGAAACTCCTCGATGACGCGACTGAAAAGCCATACAGTAACATATATGTAACAAAAAGCCAATAAGGTAGTCAAGCATATTTTACATAAAGTTTAAATTCAATATAGTTATACAAATTTTTACCGATAGTAATGAATATTATTTAATGAACTGTACTATTATTTAATAATTATTTTTGATTATAAACTTAATAAATATATTATAAGATATATGTACACATAAATATTAATGTTTTATATTTGTTAGGTGTGTTGTTTTGGTGTTTTAAATTATGTTTTGTTGTTGTCAGAGGCGTCCGCTCTGTTTCTCGGTCGCCATATAACTGTTTGGGTTGTTTTACTGGCACAACCCGAGTTAAGACGGTTTCAGGTCTCATTGTTTTGTATCTTGACTTCATGTTTCTTGTAAGAAAATGAGACTGAATGAATAATTTATATGAATTGTAGCTTTGCGCAAATCCACATTATGCCATTTTTTTGGTGGTAGTTATGATAATAGTTCCGTTTCTGTTGACTTTTTGCGAAAGAGACATTCTGAGAAAAGTTCCGGTAGACATTTTGCGTATTCTGCAGTTGAGCCATGCTGTGCTCTGAACTGCATGAAAATACATTAATCAAAAAAAGTGTCTAGAGATCAAGCACGTTTTTGTTAAGTAATGAAAATCAGGTATTTAATGTCTTTAACATCAATGGTTTTTTTATGGTCAATTTCATTTTCATATTTAAATTTAAAAAATGTTTATTTTGATATGTGTATATACAACACATATTAACACAAGCGCAAATATTCTGTAAGATAACACTTTCACTGGGTTTACAGTGTAGCTAGGAAGTTATTTTTATTACATTTGAAGAAATTTTGTTCTTGTACATGAGAGTCAGTGTCAAATGTTGTATATTAACAAAACACATTCAATAACAATTATGCAAAATAATATATACAAATACTGAACAAGTTGTGCAATGTATTGTACAGTGGATTCATTAAAACATTACCATGTTAATAAATTGTCATTATTTGATCTTGTTAAAAGGTTGCAGTAATTTTTATTGTAATATATCCCCAGCTTGGATGCACAGTCGCTTACATTCGTACAACATAATGTTAAATACATGTCATTGTGTGCACAAGTGCTACAGTACTTCATGTATAAATAGACTACATAAACTGAACAAAAGATGGCACAACACCTGGACTAATTTGAAGAAAATTCCAATATAAGTTCTTTGATACAAAATGTTTCTAAGGCAGTTTGAGAAAAAGGAATGTTGTAATTGAGACTATCAACGAAAAGTAGTGTAACCCATATTTTTTTTTTGTTTCAATATTAATAAAATATTAAAAAATATTTAATTATTACATTTTTTTATACATGAAAATAGCATCTAAATAAAAATAATTATGTACTTTAGTATCATTTAAAGTAAAATTGTAGAAAAATAAATTAAATATGGTTAACATGATTTTTGCACCGATAGCCTCAAATTCAGTGCACGTTTTCACTCCCATACTTGAGATATATTTTGTCTTGTAAAGAGTACTGTATGGAAAATACATAGAGCGAGGCATTACCTAGCAGTGTCTACATATATGTGACTTTTTATAGATTGTAGCAGTTATTAGCATTTTGGCTTAGATACTTTACAGTTTTGTGGTGAAATTGTTTACTGCAACCTTCAATATCACTAAAGCGTGTAAAAGCATTGATAAGCTTTATAACTAGGATTAAGGACGATTAGATAATCTGTTTTATTTGTATTGTGATAGCAAACTAAATAAAACCGTAGGCTCTTAATTAAAAATTATTAAAAACTATTACTTCTTTATTGTATGAGTTTCTATGTTTATTATCTTTAAATTCCAACTAAAGAACTAGAATCCTAGGTCATGAAAGAAATAAAAAAAATAAGTTAATGTGTTCACATTCCTGAATTCAAGCTGCCAATCGGCCAGATAACAAAACACATAAGAGCCATAAAATACAGCACTCAATGAATACCAAGCACTGTTCACTCAAAATGAAATAACTATGGATATTAAAGCAATATTTTCACAAACTGTAATCAGTTGTTGCATAATCAAGTCATAATTTTGAATCACTGTACAACATACATGTACACTTTTGTTATAAACAAATTTTAAAACCTACATTCAGTCAAGCATTGGACAATACACCCACATAGCAAGGCCTCACCAACCTCATTTAAAAATAATTCAAGGTTTATTATATAACCTCTTGTAACTGACTCCGTTGTCACAAAATTCGTTCATAATAATCCTGCAAAGGAACAAATGGAAGACAACAATTAATGCTATAATAGAAATCCAAAACAGTGGATTTAGGCCTCCTAAACTATGCCCATGTTTGTGCAGGGCTATTACATGATGTTCATGAGCGGGAGCCTCGGCTACTTCTTTTACATGTATTGCGTGTCTCAAGTCTTCCATATGTTGCTTGTCTGCAGTAATATACAATATTGCTGTTAAAGGTTCTGTCAGTTTAACAGGGAAATACTTTCTATATGGACCCAATTGTACTGGAGAGTCTAAGCAACCAGCATCACAAGCGTAATACGTCTTATCAGAACGATCTAGAGCTACAAAGATAGCCGCTTTATTGTCCTCTTGCAATATCACACTAATGTTCACATGCGTCATGTTGCCATAATTAACTCTACGGAAGAGGAAATCTCTGTGCAGTTTTGAAGGATGAATATTGTACTCTAAATGTTGATTACTGAATCGTAGACTTCCAAAGCTCAGTATCATTGCTTGGTTGACACCACTAGCTCCCGCTTTCAAGAGCTTGTGACATCCTTGTTTTTCTAAAGTTAACAACCATACACTAGCAACTTTATTTAAATTTTCCAATGTATTTAAAGGTTTCCACAGGTTAAATGCATCCAAAGTTGAATGTCCTTCGTAACAACCTTCTGAATATGTTAAACTTCTTAGAATATTGGACTTTGTTTCTGGCTTAATGTGCTGTTCATGCTCAAGGCTACGGACTTGAGACAAAATCGCATAAATTGTGGCATTAATTCTGTCTCCATTTATTACCCCTTGGGCTTTGGAATCGGAAATATAAAAACCAGTGTACCAAAGTCCTTGCCAGACTCTTGTATGACTTTCTCTGAGTTTTCTCACAGCTATACGATCTCCAGTCAATGCAAGGACCTTTTCCATTTCTTCAATCGCCTTTTTTTCAACTAAATCTTTTTGTTTCGCATAGTCCGACTTTTTGATCGGCTCGCTGTATTGAACGGTTGTGAAGATAAGTATGTCTAAGCCGTCTCTAGCTTCTACAGCGATCGTGCTGGGCATTTTTCTGCAGACTACGGTTGCAGCAATCACCTCATCACTGTCTGGTAGTGGTATCATGCCAGTAACTACTTCATATTCCTTTGTGTCAATTCCTTGGTGCAGTTTTATAGCCTGTTTCACAGATGTAGGCCAGTCTGATACTCTGGGGGTTGACATTTTCAACGTTTTTGTTTTGCTAGTTGGATTGTTTACCCAAATTTCCTGAACAAACAGTGATGGAATTGTTCTGTGGGCGTAATACTGATATTGAATGTGTATGCCAGAGTTACTGCATTGAAACCTATGAACTATTCCCGTCTTGTATTCAGTAACAGTGAATTGCTTCATCTCATAGTCGTCTATGATGTATAAAGGGTGGTAATGCACTGGAAGAGACAATGTTCTCCCGTATTTGATGTTAATATGAGAGTCATGTTCTAAGGCCAAACCTAGAAGGCCATTTCCAACATAAGGCACATAGTTATGGCTGGGATAAGAGAGTGGAGCATTTGCTTCTTGTCTCAAGTAAGCATCGTACTCAGTTAAAGCATTCTCAAAGGGAGATAAGAAGTTTTTCTGACATACATTCTGGTGGGACGTTTTATCTTCACCATTAAATAGCCAGTTCATTAACGTTGGACCCACATACAGCAGTAAAAAGATGAAAATAAGAACAATGGTTACCAACTTTTTACGCGTTAAGGGGCCGTCTGCGAAACGGTTTATCCGTCTGAAAATTTCTCCGGCTCTTCGACTCATATCGCTGAATTCGGTTCTGGTGTTTTCCATCACAAACTACTGTTTCACGCACATATAAATTGAACTCGTTTTACGGCGAACTGTCGTGTTTAAGTTTGATCAGTCGTTAACATGGTAATTATGCGATAACACAGTTTATTTTTCGCAAAATAGTTTTCATCAACTCCACAGTACAACACACGAGTGACAGCTGTCAAGGTAATCAAAATCAAATGACACGTAGAGTGGTATAGTGACCGGTAAAATACGGTTTTTATCTTACGTAAGTACTGTCCGAGAAGAGCAAGCGCCCGGGTTTTAACCCGAAACCGGATTATTACCGAATTTAAATTAGATTAAAATCCATTACTGCCCGAAAATGCGGGCAGGAACTACTTACAACTAAATATTTTTCGCAAATCGAGTTTTGTTCAAATATTGTATAAGTGTTTTGTACTCAATTTTGGTGACAATTTTTAATATTTAATTACTCGAAATATTAAAGAATATTTCAGGTTACACTCGAATATTAAATAATACTTCATGATAATATTCTATAAACATTTAAATAAAAAGAAATTGTCACCAAAATTGATCATAATATCATATCATATCATTAATACTAGTATGGTACTAACTGCCTCTAGTCTGTGGTCGAACAGTTGCCATGCCGGACTGCCACGCACAGGTCCCAGGTTTGATTACCGAGTCGGGAGAAATATTTGTATGGCCTACATTTATTTCTCTCGTGAGTTTGGGTGTAATTTGTGGTTGTCTATGTGTGCTTCCATGGCACCCGCGACCCAGGGATTCCCTAGTGAAAAGAAGAAAAAATATAGATTATATTCAACAATTTTGCGACGCTGTTTGAATATGGCACTGAGACACCATAACGATAAACAAATTTTACGTGCGAAAAGTATGGGGAAAGTATCGTGGAATATAATAAAAAACGAATATAGTTATAGAACACAATTATACAATATTCAACTTTTAAAGAAAATTATAATAAATGACAAAATTATAAGTGAACCAATTGACATAGCCAATAAATTTAATGATTATCAAATCAATCTGACTAACACACAAAATAAGTCATGCAGAAATACTAACAAATTTTCCTTGATTTTATTTAATGTAATAATGATGTATTATATTTAATAGTTTGACATTGATAGTTTATTATTCCGTTGTTATTAATTAATTAATTGATTATTCAGTTAGTACCTTTACAGCTGCCAGTCCTGGCGAGAGATGTCGCTATTCACTGTATTAATTAAATTTTTATTGAATTGATATTCAATTATTTTTTGTGAAATTACGTTCGATCTTTGTATTAATAATTATAACAAACTAGTGGAGTAATTTCACAAAAAAATATTGAATATCAATTCAATAAAAATTTAATTAATACAGTGAATAGCGACATCTCTCGCCAGGACTGGTAGCTGTACTAACTGGGTGATAAATCTATAATTGATTATTCCTTCTACACATCCGATGACAATGCTATAATTAAACTAAATTTAAGCAACATTTTGCATGCCTAGTCAGGTAAAACATGTGTTCTGTAATAATTGTTCCATCTTTCACACCATATTTTAAGCAAATAAAAAAAAAATTGTTGGATGTATGCGTTATTATTATTATAGTTACTAAAATACTATAGTAATTTAGTAGCATTCATACCAACCTGAGATAAAATCAAGCTAAAGTCAAGTGGAAAATGTTAAAAACAGGTGCGTTAAATACAAAAATATTCTAAGGGTATGCGTATGTACGGACAACAGCACATCATCAGACTACACATTTTTGTTTGAAAATTGCCTCCAGTACAACAGAACAAGATACGTCAATTTGTAGATCGATGTGCTGTTGACTGTACATAACCAAAGTCATCATCTGTATCCTTTTCACACGAGCAGGAGCTCAATTCACTTAAATTTACAATTATTCTCTGTATTCTAAGTCTGGTTAATTTAATAATTTGTTAATATTTTTTTCGGCGAAATTAACATTAAGATTCGTATTCTAGAACTCTACTCAATGCTCAAGTCAGGATTGCACTGGAAACACAAGCACTGGAAGTACGACCCTAATGGACTTGAGTATGATTTCGAGTGCTTTAAACCATACTCAAATCCTGACTTAAGCATTGAGTAGAGTTCTAGAATACAACCCTTAGTTGTAAATATCACAAGTATGTAACCTTATGAACGATGTCTGCAATAATTGGTTTGATATTATGTATTCTTAAAAAAAAGTCGTTTAGGGCAACACTTAACAATTCAATTTCTGGGGACATTTCTACCATACTACATAATTTATATTTATCACATAATAGTTTGTACGAACAACAGCACATCAGACTACACATATTTGTTCGAAAATCGCCTCCAGTGCAATGAAACAAGATACGTCAATGTGTAGCTTGATGTGCTGTTGACTGTACTATCCTGTTGCAAGAGGGACTTCGATAGGCTTAAGAAAAAAACTCATAGAACGTAACCGTTGGCATGATGTATCACAAATACAAACTATCGCAACTTTAAAGCAGATATAAAATCAAACTATGTGTTTTTTACGGTAAAATACTATTAATTTAACCGAAATAAAAACATTGTTAGTGTTCACAAAGGATATAAATTATATAATTAATCGTTTCCTATTTGGACAATTAGGTATCATTAAGTTACGTTCAGTCGCTGTTCATAGCAATCAAAAAGAGGATGCTATGTTGGCTCGACTGTACATTCAAATATACTAAATGAAGTATTAATTATGATGTGTAATCGTTTCTGCCCATGATTTTGGATAGAAATGGATTAATCCGGGAATTTTGGGTAAAAGCCCGATTAAAACCCGGGCAGTTTATTAGGGTTTTAACCCACTGCTCATCTCTGCGTACTGTACTACATACGTTTGTAAATAGTGGAATAAGTTTACTCATTCATTTCCTTAATGAAAAAAAAATCATGTTAAAAAAAAGTTTTTCCACATTTGACACCTGTCAAAGTTGAAAATATTAAACGAAAACGATGGAGACGGAGCTAAATGTAGATTCGTTCTGGCCCTTTTGGAGGGAAAAGTGTCGTTTTTATTTTTACTTCATTGACTTACAATTATATGGACGTCGGGTCCGCGCTAAAAAGTGTCCGTACTTGTAAGGCGCTAAAATCGTATACAGAGCGCCAAACTCCACTTTAGTCTTCATTTGTTCGACTGACAGCGCGTTACTGCGATGACTTGGGACATTTTTTTCGTGGTTTTTGTATTAGACCCGTCGTCCATTTATTTGTAAGTCAATGTTTTACTTTCAATTATTTTGTGAAATATAGTTTAAAGTGGAATAAGATAGTGCCTTAATCGAAGATTAAAACGCGAAATTATACGAATCTCGAACTAAAATACCCGTCTCGGCCCGTTTTAAGGAATACCAAGTCAATTCAAGCACGCCGCCTCAAATTGCCTATATCTTTGTGGCGGCCATATTTATAGAAACATGATTAAACGAAGACTTGGCTCAAAGGATTTGTATCCAAGCCAAAATTATTAATAAAAAAAACGGAGTTAAATGTAAACCGCCATTTATTAAAAAAGGTTTTTTTTTATCAATAATCCTTTTTTCACTGTTGTCCAATAATTTTAAATCTGGTTTTCCTCTAACTGGCTATTAGCTATACAATTTTATTTTATAATTTTCATGCTAATATATGTTTAGAGTGAGTAGTCTTCATGAGTCTTCGAATTATATCTTTACAATTTTTGAAAATTTGTTCCTGAAAAATTTTCTCTATTTCAAAATTAACCAACAATACCTACATATATATAGGGTGTAATCATTAAGTGTGCCCAAGCGATTATTCCGTGCAAGAGATATCAAAAACCTCTAAACTCATATCGATTAATAAGCAAAACGACATTAATGACTTTAAAATAAAACTAGAAACATTCAAAATTTTAATGTTAAACGTTTCGTTAACTACATTTAATTTTGTTGCTTTTTTAATTTTTTATTATTTTATTACATAATTCAATTTTGTTTTGTTGTGCATGCATTCCCGTTACAATAATTATTGTCCTGTATTTTGGTCTACAGGAAGAAATTTGTTTTAGAAATAAGCAGTACCCTTTTGTTTGTGTGTTCCGATTTACTAAATGTGATTTTGTGCTTTCCTGTGCAATAAATAATTAAGTTAATATGATATTCGTATAGGGGCTTTAGTTAACCCACTTTAAAAGGTAACAATAAGTTTACAGATAACGAAACTGCAATACATAAAGTAACAAAACATGTATGAGAACATAGGAAATGAAACTATTTTTCCGGATTTAAATCGCGTATATTTGTTTTTTCAAACAAACCGACGATGCGGGCCCTTTACAGGTCCCATGGTCACGGTTGACTGATGTGGTACAGTCTTCAACCAGTTATGTTAACGTCGGTTTGTTTGAAAAAACAAATATACGCGATTTAAATCCGGAAAAATAGTTTCATTTCCTATGTGTAACAATCGCGAAAACCTAAGAACTCGATATGTATGAGAACGTTGAAATTCTGGATATTACTAGTTTTATAAAAATAATATTATATTTTTTACTTATTTATTGATGTCGTTTTACTCATTAGTTAATATACATTCGATATTCTCTCTGAATTTTGAAATCCTAAGCCAGGTAGTACTCACAAGCGAATTGTATGCGTTGCATATTATGTTACCAAAGCTTGCCGCGATACGCGAGCAGAACAGTTGTGGTTCGCAGTCAGCCGGCCGAGTAGCTCGCTAGTACCCTTTATATATGATAAAAAAAGTAAAAATTAAAAACCAGCATTTTAATTGCGTATTTTTAAATGTAACAAAAAAAACACTTCCAACACCACCTACACATTTCTTTTTAATGTTAAGATACCTGCATGAGTACGAATCCATGGTTCTGCATGAAAAAAATCGTTGTAAAGGAGAAATAAAAATACCAGTTTATTTACGAAAATTATATTTATCTCATTATTTCTATCACAAAACCTTCAACGCGGAACTCGCAAACCAACAGCAATAAGAATAAACTTTCAAAAAGATGTAAAATTTTACAAAACAGGAGCACCATTATGTATTTATGACGTCATTCAAAACTACATTTATATTCATTCATAGTGAGTGTCTTACTATATTATACTATCATTTTTGGCGAAATGTGAATAGAAACGTATTAGTCACCATCTGTTCAATGAGTATAAAGTTTACATCGTCACACGTCTCACGTCCACCTGACTCGACGTCATGTAACATCATTGAGTATACAACCAGAAATAGAGGCGAAAAAAACATCCATCCCTGACGACTCGTCAGTCAAATGGGCTTTATATCACTTTTAAATATCAACTCTCAAAGTATGTACGTCTCCGTATATTCCAAAAATATTCTGCATTTATTGTAATAAAGATAATGTCTCTATCAATGGGGGGCTGTTCCATTCGGTGGTGTGGGAAAAACAGCAAAACATCTAATTACAAAAAAACGGAATCACATTTCATTGGTAATTAAATATGTAATTTTGCAATTTTCGTCCATTATAGCAAAGCTCAAGTTCAACTGGTCGATTTAACAGGAAACAATTGACGACACTCGTCAATTGTTTCGAATTCGGACTGACCAATCGGAGCGTAGTGTCATAATTTGGCAGAATAGTTTTCAAACAAATTAAATGATATTTCGTCTCTATCTCTGGTTATATACTCGATGTGTAACATAGATAAATGCATATTTTTGTGTTCAAGCCAGGCTACTTTTTTTAATGACACTAGTCTACTTTGAGCCAATGTTAAAAGTAAAAGATTAGGAAACGACCGGAAGGAAAGGAAAACCTTACAGTTAAATCTAATATTGGAAAGTACATTGAGTAAAAGGAACATTAAAATTTCAAATAAATACTTAAAATCATCTAAATAAACAAACGGACTAAATTTTTGTATTTTAATGTAATAAATTACGACACACATGTTGATATAGAGGGGTGTTTGTAAAAAAAATAACCTCGCAGAACTATATTACTAACGTCATAAACAACAACTTTTGTAACATGCCTTTAAAAATTAGATTTCGTACAAAAATAACAAAAAATACAACAACCAATACATTTCTATTCAGTTTTGACCATATGTTTAGGTTTATTTCCAATTAGAGTATGTAGTTAATTAACATGATATAAGTTCGTAACAATAAATAGGAGATTCATTACAATAATAATAATAATGAGTCCCTGACCCCGGCCGACTGTGCCATTGCCGGGAAATACCGCCTCTCCCATTTAAAAATTCAAAATTAATTTTTTAGGCCTTGGGAGAGGCGAGAGTTTAAAATAAATATAATAATAATAATCTAAGAATAATAATATCTCTAAAATAGCTATACATATATAACATTTAGAAAATTATTGATAAAATATTTTTAAAAACTTATTATTTTCTTCAAAGGCACTATTAAGTCGTAACATTACGGTCATTTTAAAGAAACAAGTTTCATAACGTCGCTTCACAATGAAAACCTGATGTGTCCACTATTTTTCAAGTGCCACAACTATACAATAGAAGTGCTTAGTGGATGTCGCACGTGTGTCAACAGTATGCGGTAGGCAGTATGTACGTTATGATCGTACAATTATCTCAAGCAAAACTGGAAAATTGTGGAAAAATGCCTTTTTTTGCTGCTTTGGAGAGCAAAAATCACAGTCACACCAGTAATATTATCTGTGGTGGTGGTTCATATCATCGTTAAGTCGTATTTTATTTAATTTTCCATTTTCTGTTTATTACCCGACTTCAAAAAAAGGAGGAGCTTCTCAATTCGACTGTATGTTTTTTTTGTGTCTATGTTACGCGATAAATTTGTGAACCGACTTTGAAGATTCTTTTCTTGTTCCAAAGAGGGTACCTCAGATGTGGTCCCATTTAAATTTAAAGAAAATAATCCACCTCTAAGGGTGGCAAACCAGGGGATGAAGGACTTTTGAGGTTTGTTTACTGATTATTGTGATAGATTTTTTGTTATCAGAAACGGAAGTAAACTTTATAACGTTGCAATATGGTTGACTTTTTTTTAGAACGTTAATCGTTCGTCGTCTCCACAGCCTTTCAGTTATTAGTGCTAGATGGCAGACCATTGAATGAAATTTCAATATAGAATCAAAAAGTCGTAACTTGCAATAATAGGTACGGAGAACTTTCAACGATTCCCAGTGGGAAAAGTTTAAATTATGTTAACAGTCCAGAACCACTTACTTCTTTTTAAATTAGAAACTGCGATCAATCATTATCAAGATTTCATAGTGTTTAAAATTACGTATGTGTGATTTTGGCGACAGCGGTTCTGATAGTAATCAAAATTTGAGGTACTTCCATTGTTTTATCCTTCCGTGGCAGAAAAATTCAAAACATTACTTGTTACAACCTTAAATGTCTACTGTGGTCACAGAGACTTCTATAAATAATAGCGTCGAAAAAAAACCGGCCGTCGAAAAAAGTCACGTTTTGGCTTGTTTTTCTTTTTTTAATGAGAAGCGGTGGTTTTTGTACATTTCTACGAATAATTTATCCAAGCTGAACACCAACCGCTAAAGGACGCTTCAAAATACGTTTCAAATGAACCCTGAACACAATGGGACAAGGTTATTAAATGAAACTACACGAAATTATAATCGAAATTTATCGGTATTTATACCGAAGCTCCTCTTTGGTACATTTCAAAACTTCTCGTTTTATGTATCGAATTTTTTAAAGGTTTATTTTCCTCTGCTAAGTTTTAAAAAGTGGACGTAAAAGGTTTTAATAGTAAAGCGGCGACAAGTAACGTCACTTTCGCAGTTAAATCCGAATATATGTTATAAAAGAAGTAACTTGATCAAGTAATGATATCTTCTTCCATCACATCCTTACCTAACTAGTAATTCTAGTTTATTTCCTAGAACTTCAACCACGTCAGTAATGTTTTTGACTGAAAATAGTTTCAGAGGGACCCAGGAATTGCAAAAAGGAATGTAAGATAATAGAGATAAATGTTATTGCGTTTGTCTTATTGTCTACAGTTATAGCAAAACTTTTATAATAATAATAATATCTATAAAAAGTTGCCAGTAACATGCCTCTTTGTCTAGCTATCGTACTCCATTATAGTTAGTACGAAGAAAATTATCGCAAACATATATTTAAAATCTTAATTAAAAAAAAATATAATTAAGGTCAATTTACAAAATAATATAGACTAAATATGATACTGTAACAAAAAACTTTTCGAGATCGCGTCAAAATTCACGATACAAAATTTTTATTTTACTGTTAATTTTTTTTCTTTACATATTAGGAAATAAAGAATCCATTACGTATTAAAGCAAACGAGTTTCTCTTTATTCCTAAAAACATATGACAGCTGCCTTAAAACTATAAGAGAACTCTTCATCTGCAATGTTTTAGGAGGTTACGTCACATAGTTTTTTTTAGTAAAAATAATAACTGAATGAGTGAAAAAACAACAGAATGACAGCTAACGCAACCTTCTTGAGCAAGTACTACATCGTTGTAATGTTTCAAAAAATTATAAAGGGACGGACTGAAGTACAAAATCGAGCCAATTATTATCTGAAATAAAAATGAATATATATTTTGACTCTGTAAACTTTAAACGATTCGTTTATTAAGCAAGACGGAATATAAATATGTTGTTTTTAAACTTGCGAAAAAAAAAATTATGTCAGTAGTGAATTATCTGATTACCGGATTTTATTATTCGTTCACATCTACCGGTTTCCACTCCTTGTCTGAGCGGAGCAGCACTATTTCGTCCTCCGAATCTGTTTCTGATGGCGGTAACTCTTCTTCATCGTAGTAAGGCTTGCGAACTACATCTGTAAAATTATAATGGCAACGGTGAACACCTGAGATGTTTATTAATATCTTTTAAGACGTTGTGATAATAACATCCAGATACGGAGATGACTGCCGGAGACTATTCACAAATCTATATACCTTACGTTTGAACTGTTAGTTCAAATAACATTTTAGTATGTTATTCAAATGAACATTGCTGGAAAAAGTGATGAGATATCAAGTCGAAATCTTCAAAATATACGTGAAAGTGTTACTTATTCCATTTGTCGAGTGATTGCTTTATAATTTTAACCGGTTTGTTTACTTTTCTGGTATGTATGATGGATTGAAACAGACTTTACACTACAGAGTTGTCTCAATGTGTGTGTTTAATTTTTTATGTGCAATAAAGAACAATTCATTCATTCATTGTTCTCAATTCCCTTTTTGGTTCTTAAGATAATTTTTAGCAACATTGGGTTTAGGCATGGCAGTTTAGTTTTACTTACCTTGAATATCTTCACAAAGTGGTCGCTTATCATCTGAAGGTATCTGCGTGAAGAGATACTCCCTTCGCGACTCACGCGCCCTCTGTCGACAACTGAAGCACCACGCTGCCATCGTCACTAGGGCCACTCCCAATACACCTAAAGGGGCAGTTAGTCACTCAAAAACCATGCTTGAACAACAACACACAATACTGGCAAATTAAATCTTAAACCTTCAATATCGGTGGTTTATAAGAATAGCGGACCAAACCAAATTATTTCACGTTTCACTTTCTTTTACAGGCTGACAATCAGTATCGCGTGGCATAGTCCACTAGCAAACTGCGTTTTGTATGTGGATAAAAAAGCTATAAAGTATAAAAAAAATTGTTCCAAAAACAGATTTTTAAATGGTACTTTTTTAATTATATGAAAGCTGTGATAAAAAAGAGATGAACAATATGAAGAGACAAAATCACAGTATTAAACTTTTTATTTTATTTCCATTAAAAATTGAACATAGAAAGCTTTGCAACAGTAATCTTAAAATAACTAGTTTTGTAATTGTTTCAAATTAACGTAACTAGTTTTGCAACAACACTATGATAAATTGGCTAGTTTAAACAGTAAAAAATATATCTTGAATCTAATTTTAATTTTCCTTTACACTCTTATATCCACCTCGTCAACCATCAATGTATCTTTATTATCTGTCATTTCTTCTTCTTCGGTCAGATTTGATTGTACTGGCCCAATAATAAAATAAAAAATAAAATATATTGTATACTCTATTGAGTATACAATAATAAACATATACAATATATTTTATATTGTATACTCTATATTACAATATATTTGCATTTATTTCTCTCGTGAATTTGGATGTAATTTGTGATTGTGTATGTGTTGTCCATGGCATCCGCAAAACAGGGTTTCTCCAGTGCGGAGACATGAGTGTGTGCCTAAAAAAATTTTTTTTCAGGACGAAGATAAAAATGTGGTGTAAAATATAGTAAATGCAATGATGTCTGTAATTAGCATTTTAATTAGTTAAATTATACCTCTTTAAGATACTATATTACTTGAAAGAAGAAGTTTTTCTTCAAAAAAATGTGGTTTCGAAGGTGAGGTTTTCACTCTAAGGCAACGATATACCAATTTGTTTGAATGAATGAAATGTGTTTGAGTGCGTGAATGCGTACGTGTATGTGTGGGAGTGTGTAAGTGTGTGTGCGTGGGTGAGCGTGTATGTGTGTATGCTAGCCAGTGCCAGGCGATGGATGAGCCTTCAGGTTTGGAAGGTTGATAAAACAAATAAGAATAAGCTCAAAAAACACTAAATCTATTTTACGGTCAATTTTACATAACTATGAGACAACCAGCAATTGAAAGGCGCAAAAACTTTAGTAAACACAGACAATGGCAATAAAAACAAAATTGATATAAACTTCTTTGATTGATTGATGGAGTAAAAAGCCAATTATCCACCAGATCGAAAAAAGAAGATGTGTTTTACCAACTTACAAAAATAACGGAAAATTTTATACTTGTATACATTCATCGTTATAGTGGGAAATTTTGGGACAAATAGAAAGTTTACATTAAAACTTAATAAAGTTTGCTGATAGCTTGATGGTTTGCACTGTGCGTGCTGGATGAGGTGGTCCCGGGTTCGATTCCCGGTAGGACCGTTTGAAAAATAACTATTTTAAATTGGTTCTGGTTTGGGAGTTCTGTGTAGTGCATTGGAGAGGATTCTACTGCTCTAGTACTTATAGTTCGTTAGTTAGAACCTAATTTATGTTCAGGTATGCGCCGTCCAACCATTTATTATACTTTTGACATAAGGGCGCCTATGAAGTTCAATAATTATTAAGCAACTATAGGCAAAAAAATGCAATACTTCATGGTCTCTGTTCTTTCTTATAGTGGAGCGATGTGCTCTTGGCTCCGACTCCGATATTTACCAAGCCGACAGATTATGTAACGAAGATTCTATTACACTTGAAATCGTCACTTTGCGCTCTTTCATAAGGCAGATTCCCCAGAGAAGAATAATAATTTTAATAACGTTCACATGAGACCAACAATACTCAGAATGATTAAGATTTATTTTCTTGTCCTACAAAAGTATATAAGTAACCTTAGTATTAATTATATATTTACTTTATTTTTGAGTAGTGGATTTATTTAAAATTACAAGATAGTCTTTGGTTGCACCCCCTTTCCAACTCCTTAATTTCTATCCTAAGGTTGCCTAGAAGGAATTGCTACTTAGCAATAAGGCCGCGTGTTGTACATTAGCTTACTCTGTGATACTTACATTACTGTTATGTGTTGTCATTGTAATTTGAATGTGCAATAAAGAATATTTCATTCATTCATTCTTTCATTCAAGAAACTCTAGGAATTTATGGCAGGGGTCATAAACTATGGAAGTAACTGAACAAAATCAGCCTTGCAGTTTCTATGTCTGAAAGTATTCGTGCTTTTTTTTAAATCACTTAATTGTAATTAGACAACGAGTACTACAATATCAACTACATATAAATACCTATAGGTGACAGTACATTAGTAGGAGCACGAGGACATATTTATCCTTTTGGTCATGCCAGTAGGAGCATAAGGACATATTAGTAAACGGCCGATTATTCAAGTTGCTTTCTTCGTTGTATAGGTTTTGGTATCTGTCTAATAAATTATAATGAAAATAAATAAATTTGAAATAAATGTTGAAAATATTAATGTGTTAAAGCGATTAAAACTTTTTTTAATAGAGTAGTACCAGGAGATCTCTTTCGTGGAAGAGTTCGTCCAGGGAAGTACTGCCACCTTACCTATTTCTGTCATCAAGCAGTAATGTTAGCACTACTGTGTTCCGGTTTTGAAGGGTAAGGGTGCTTGTGAAATTACAGGCACATGGGACTTGTCAACTTATGTCTCAGGGTAACGGGCGCAGTGGTAGTGCCCTGCAGATTTCTGCAACTGTTATGGGCTGTCCATAACAGGTGTAGCTTACCATCAGGCGCTCGGCTTATTTGTCCCGTCACTTGATATCATAAAAAAAAACTTTATAAACTATCGTTGTTCAACGGATTCATTGTGAATTAAAATTAACATTAAAACTTTTTCATAAACAAAATCGATTGTTATAAGAAATCGAATCGGTTACGCATTATGACATCACTAATGGTTTAGTAGTCGAGCTGTCAAAAGTAAAATAAATAGTTGGACGGACTATAGGTGTGGTTAATTTAAAAAAAAAAACAAATCTAGAAAATATTAAAACGCATTACAATTAAAAAAAGAAGTTAACATCGATACAAACCGGCGACCATAACGAAAACCAATCGAGGCATTCCCATTACGTAATCGTCCTTCTCCAGCTTGAATAATACACTTGTTCTGTTGTTGCTTTGAATCTGAAATGAGGGAGATTGAAAAATTTACTTTTGTAACTAAGTGTGATATTGTTAGGCGGCGGTGAGCATATATTCCTACACTGTTTATTGGGTATTATAATTATTAATCCAAAAACAATCGTTCGTTCTGGTTAGGTTCAAACCAGCGTCGTCGACATACCTGACGCTCTCCCAACTGTGCTACAGAACGAAACAGCAGACCCTAAGAATTTATCTAAGTGCTTGTTGCAGATCTTTGTTTTTTTTAAATCAGTTTTGTCGGAGCCAACATGTAGCGCCGCGGAGATTTTGTATAGACTCATCCGAAGAACACAAGTCCGATGTGATTATATAGCGAAAAGAGAATAAGTATGTACGTTACGAGAATAATTTTCTTATTCAAACTAAGGCCTACGTAAAGGTGTTTTGAGAATTTATATATCTTATTTCATTTTGGAAATATGACATCAAGCAACAGTCGATCTGACATCCACAGCGAAGATGAACGAACGAAATGTACTATGTCCTGAGAACAAGTAGTCTTGCATATAGATCTTGGTTCTACGGTTGAGTCGATACGGTAGGTAGTATTTTGATATCTGTCTGGATTTTGTTAAGTGTTTTCTTGAGGTATCGTTTTTCTAATGGGGCTTACATGTTCAATAACGATCAGTCACTAAATAAATAGAGTAAGAAATACTTTTTTGAAGTAGCGCCATCTGTGAGAAACCTATTAAAGTTTTTTTTTGTTTCGTTCCTTGGTGTGCGATCTTTATATTAATAAATTATAACAAACTTTGACTTTCATCAGTGATCGGAATTGAAGGACTTAACTAAAGTATTAACGTGTTCTTAGTACGGAACATCGAGTATATAACCAGAAATAGAGATGGGATGTAATTTAACTTGTTTGAAAACTATGCTGCCAAATCATTACTGTGACAACTGCGCTCCGATTGGCCAGCCCGAATTCGAAACAATTGAAGGGTGTCGTCAATTGTTTCACTTCAATCGTCCAGTTTAACTTGAGCTTTGTTATAATGGACGAAAATTGAAAAATTACATATTTAATTAACGATGAACTGTGATTCCGTTTGTTTTGTAATCAGATGTTTTGCTGTTTTTCCCACACCACCGAATAGAACATCCCTCATTGTTAGAGATATTATCTTTATTACAATAAATACAGAATATTTTTGGTATATACAGAGACATACTCACATGTCAGTTGTTGGCGCTGTACTATTTCAATTTTCTAATTTGTGATTTCAGCGCAAACGAGAGTTGATATTTAAAAGTGATATAAGATCAAGACTGCTGACTTGCCAGGGATGGATTATTTCGTCTCTATTTCTGGTTATATAATCGATGGTATGGACATACCCATTTCGTGATATGACAAAAAAATCCCTGAATTCATGTACATATACACTTATTATTATTATTATTATTATATAAAATTTCTTTTTTTACTGTTTATTTTCTAAACATTCCAAAATAAAGGTTGTCTCATTTTTATTTTTTTTTCAATTGCTAAGGTATTTAAATACCTAAGTACCCATAGAAACACAACTACAATATAACTTTTTGAGACAATAATTTGTAGCAAATACTTAATTCGAAATAATATAAATTTGTCACCAATGTACTCAAATTTCAATAAATAATGCGCATATTTAAATATAATCAATTCCGAGAAGTAACAGGAAGTTGTAGAAGGGAATGTCCACGTTAGTCTTTAGTCTAGCTAAATTAACTCCTCCATCATGGTAGAAAAACATCTTGATATCCAAAATCAATGATTATATTTTTTCTAAAAGTAATTTCCTACTCACCATAAAATGCTTTTGCTGAGTGAGGAACCCCCTAGCAGCAGCGGAAACAACAACTTCTTTCCCCAAATATTTGATTGGTATAGAGAGAATGAAGACGCCGTTCTCGTTACTTCTGTTATGAGTTATCGCTATGACTGAAGCGAGTGGGTACACCGTTATTTTGGCATTATGTAGGGGTTCGCTATTGGTATTCTCTAGAGCTAAACCTGAAAAAAAAAACAATTTTAAAGTATATTGTAACAAACCCATTTTTAATAGACTGCCACATCCACTTTTTTTTCTGATTACTATCAGAACCCCTGTCGCCAAAACTCACACATACATAATTTGAAACACTATAAAATCTTAATAATGATTGGTTTCTAATTCAAAAACAAGTTAACAAATTCTGGAATGTTTATAAATTAAAATTGTACCCTATTGGCGTATCGTTGAAAGTTCAACATACTCGTATCTATAATTAAAAGTTACGACGTTTTGATTTTAAATTGAAATTAAAATCAATGTGCTGCTATCTAGCGGATAGTAGTTGAACGAAAGCGAATTCGAGATATTTACTTAGTTCTCCAAAACAGAACGACGATATTGCAGCGGTATAAGGTTTACTTTCGTGACTTGTAACAAAAAATTATTACGGTAAAAAGAATTTAATAAGAATTAACGATGATATTATGAAACACCACCACATAAGTGCCGAGCCCGTAGGCCGAGGTCCGCGGAGGGCGAAGCCCGAAGCGTCCGCAACCCCTCGTATGGAGGTAATATACGGAGGAGTCATAGATTACGAGTACAAGATCTCACAATAGTAAAAATGTAAGGCATACTTCCCGAAGTAGTGGAAATGAGATACTTATTCTAGCGTTGTTGTATCTCAATCGTCTTTCTGTTAGATTCCATTTTCTTGAAAGCTATGCCAAAGAGAAGTATTTACAGGGAAAAAATGTCAAACTACTGCCGAATTTCCTGTACTATGAATACCAAAACAACGATAACCCAGAATACTCTGACCGAAACCAACTTAGAAATGTTCGTTTCTTAAATAGGCCCAAATCGGAAGTCGACCTCCTCATCAAGCGCCCATAGTACTAACTACTGAGCCACCGAAGAGCATAAGCACACCCGTGAACTGAACCCGACCACGCAAGCCGAGCCCGACCCCACGTAGGTGGGGTACAGGGCTCGTATTATTATGTGACTGTCATTTTTGCACTCCAACTTGAGTAGCAGTGCTCCTTGTGAAAGAGTTCGTCCAGGGAAATACTGCCACCTTACCTATTTCTGCCGGCAAGCAGTAATGTCAGCATTACTGCGTGCCGGTTTAGAAGGGTAGGGGTGCTGGTAAAATTACAGGCACATGGGACTTATTAACTTATGTCTAAGATTTTCCGATTTAAAACTCTGAGTGGCACTGCAACTCTTATGGACAGGCGTGTCGCTTACCACCAGGCGCACGACTTGTTCGTCCGTCACTTGGTATTATAAAAAACAACTAAACGAAAAAGAATAGAACAACGGAAACCCTATTTACGACGTGACTTCTTTACAAAGACATTTGAAATATACCAATCAGTATTAGAGTAAAATTCCTGTCAGTCAAAAAACTTGGTTTGTTTTCCTTGTTTACCGTGCTGTTTATAAATGCCCACTTACCAGCGACACGTATGAAATTGGGATTGTCATCCATCTGTAATTCTTCAAACTCTTTGAACTGCCCGCCCGTCACTCGTTCGGAGTTAACACGCTTCATTGTTATGTCTTTGTGTTTAAGATCACGCTCTAGCACTCGCCAGGTGAACATCTGTAAATACAATATATTTTTCATCTCACTTGCAAGTAAATAGTATTATTGCATGCAGGCTAACTGGACTATAATGCCCCGAATAAAACTCTAGGGCGTTTTTTCTTCTCATTACACGACCAACGACGACAAATATTTCTCACTGGTTAATAGTACACACATAAAACATTAAAGGTACAAAATACTTAATGAAATAATCAATTAAACAATAATGACACAAAGCAAAAAATAAAACACAATGACAAAAATATTTAAATAAGAGAAAGTTGCAAAGGAGCGTTTTGACAAGAGAGCTCTTGCCAAGGTCAATGTCACATTGATATTGAGGACAGTTGACCATTTGTGGCAGATTTCTGCAATTTGGGCAGATTTAATTTTTAGTCATTTTCATTGTTGCAGAAGTATAAATACGTTATATTAATGGGGCAGAGTTTGGAATATTCGGGAAGTTCTTTATTATTTTTGGGAACAAACTAAAAACTTGTTTTCAGCTACTACGAAATACAGGACAATGTTATAAATACTGCTACTATGATATAGATCGTGTTATCGATTAATGTCGTTCATACTATATTTTAACCTTCATTTTGCAGAAATGACCTTATTACATTAAGGATGCGAAGTCAACAAAATATCCAGTTTTCTAACTAGCTCTTATTCTTTGTTCAACGTAAAATACAAGTTTGATGAAAGCGATATTGATCTATGTAAACTCAACCTTGTTGAGTTTATTTAGATCGAAAAGTTTAGTTATTACGTTCCGCTTTTGTTGATGCGTGATAATTTAGATTATATACGTATTTTGTGGATTTCGATAGTCGAATTAACTGCCTCCGTGGCCAAACGGTTGCCATGCCGGACTGCCACGCAGAGGTCCCAGGTTCGATTTCCGGGCCGGGAGAAATATTTGTATGACCTATATTTATTTCTCTCGTGAGTTTGGGTGTAATTTGTGGTTGACTGTGTCCATGGCATCCGCTGTACAGGGTTTTCCTAGTGCGAGGATATGTTGAGTGTGTTATTATTATATATTATTATTATTAATTAGCTTTTTTAATGCTTTGATAATGAATCACAAGTATTGATAGGTCTCCTTAATGCACGTCGTCAAAAACAATGGGTCACAAAATAGACGGGATGTCACCTTCTTTGAATGCGATATTTTCATTACAGCGTCCACTGAGCGTTTACGTGATTATAGGAATACCATTGTCTGGATCACTTCTTCATCATATTATGTACATTTTATTTACACGGGGCCTTTAAAGAACAAAGATTATTGTTGTGCGTTTACCTGATCATGATAGCCATGGCACTTCACTTTACCACGGTACTCTCCCGGCGGCAAAATAATCCGATAGAAGGCCATATTTGAGGTGACATGAAATTCTTTCTCTATCCCACTAATGGTTAGCACTGCATCCCGCATCGGCTTGCCCTCTTCGTTCTTTACGTAGCCAACGATACCTGAAATATATAAACGTTGCATCAATCTATTGTGATTCCATGCAAGCCTTAGGTACAGTATGGTAACCTATCACAAACTCGAATTTATTTTTCCGAAACAACGTTTGTTCGAATTTTCATTACCCCGAAAACCGAATTATAACGAAACCGTTGTTATTTCACGATATGTTGGATGTTTATCGATAAGACACGATTATGTTCGGTTGGGTTAGGTTTAAAATAAAAAACATTTTCCTCTCAAAATTACTTTCGAGGTTATGAAAATTCGAGCTAACGTTATTTCTGGAAAACGTCATTTCGGACTTCTGATAGGTAACCGAATAGTATCAAGTTTACAATAAAACAGAATAATTGTGATATCGAGTTGACATTTATACCAGGCGCAGTACACATGTTACATTTAAGAATGGAATTCGATTTCGTTCATATGACCACCGAAATCACGTTTGTAGCGGTCACACAGCTGGTCAAACAGTCGATCTGTTGAAAAGGAAGTTCGAAAATCGTGTAATTTCGGTCGAATGGCCTGAATTTTTCTCAGTGATATCCATGATACCACCATGATATTCATGATGGTCAAACAAAATTAAAAAAGCTTCAACAAACTTAAATAACATACCTGTATTACTCATTGCCACAAACTGCATGATCCCCTCCAAGTTGTCTCTCCAAATCCAAGAAATATTTTCCTCTGTCGGCATATTGCAACAACTCAAACCAACGGACACAACTGGTGTGTTATACCTTTCATACAATATATCTATCAAGTTATCATGTATAACATTGTTTTTATTTGTACAGTCATATCTGTCTACTGGAGTTCTATGTAGCTGGTAAATTTTGGCGAATTCTTCGTAAACATGTTTAGATAGCTCTGGATAAGATACGTCTTCGTTGCCCGAAGATAGTTCTAATACCAGATCGTATTTTTCGGCTTGCAATAGATTAATAAATGCTTTTTCTCTAGTATAGTTTGATAAAGGATTCAGATTTTTCATTGCTATATAATTGTAAAGGCTATCACCAAATTCTTCTTCAAGTGCAATCACGTTGCAGTGCTCTGTGCCATCAAAACTGGTTACTATCTTCTCTAAAATAGGGTCCAAATTTGGTATAAAATGTAAGACTGTATTGTTCAATATTTTTTTATTAATAGGCTCTCCTATTGCGTAAGCGTTCGCTATGTGTCGAGCGAAATTTAAGAGCATTTCTTGGCCAAGCGGTTTTGAGCCGTAGAAGCTACTTATAAGAGCTATATGGAGTTTTGATTCCTCTGGTGAACCGATCTGGAAATAAGAATGATTGCGTTCCAAATTATAATATCTAAGGGTAGAGATGGCAATAACGGCTGCAAATAATTAATAAATTATACGGCTATTTTTTTTCAATAACATATAATGTTGTCAATTATCCTGTTATATAGTTTTGCATATAACATGACAATGATAGTGAGTGAATATTGTGTAACGAGTTATGGTTCAATCAACTTTTTTACCAACATTGCTAATTATGTAGTACAAGAGTAAAAAAAACCAATTTTTTATAGTTTTTAGCATATACTAACAAAACACAAAAATCGGGGATAATGGCGTTAACGCAATGAAAACAAATCTGTAACTGTTATAATGTTATCGACGTTATTCCAATTCTATAAAGCATGAAATGGTACTTTCAAATATGTGATTTGTAATAGTAACTTAATAGAAAACAATAAAATATAAAATTAAAGATAACTGTATGATGTGCACCGAAAGGTTTACGATTTGCAAATCATAGCATTGCGAATTCATTTGAGTAGCGCCATTTCTCTCTCACTATTGATATTGCATACTTGCCACGACGTTGGCACGACGCTAAAACAGGATAACAGGATAACATTAGCAAATTAGCTAGTTGTTCTATAATGAGTTATACATTGCGTTACATTATCTGTTATTGTAATAATGACCACGTCTATCAAGAGGTGAGTGAACTGACATAATTTAGAAGTTAGTTGTTGTCACCGTCGATGAAGGATCATTCTAGTCCAGTATAACTTAAGCCGTACATAGAGCAGCTACACCTAGTGTTGTACCATACCTGTTCAGTCATCTTCAATTGGTGAAATGTGGACGTAAGCAAGCTGTCTCCAGAGCGAAACTCCGCGATGTCTGGGAACTTGTTCTCCAATTCTGCTAGCAGCCCATATATCTCTAACGGTTTGTGATACCGCGTTCCGATAATGTTCTCCAATACGCTGGAAATAGAGTTGATAGTTGATTAGATAGGACATAGATATATAAAGCGTTCTGACAGCTTATATATGCAAAATAAATTTTATTTCAAAGAAGTGAATTAGAAATGCAAATCATGCTGTTGTCCCTTAAAACATTAATACACGTAACTTAGAATTTTGTCGAATTGAAAAAAGAAGAAATAGATTATTTTTTGTGCCCCAAACGAAAACACTGAAGAAACGTATAAACAAGGTTCTCCGGAGTCGGCAACGCATGAGTGATGCCTCTGGTATTGCTCGTGTCCATGGGCGACAATGACCACCTCCCATCAAGTGGCTTGTCTGCTCGTTTGCCTACTAGTTAACATAAAAAAAAAAAAAAAAAAATACGACAAAGAATAAAAATTACAACATAAAACCATTAAAACTATGTACTCAAAATATTCACGACTGAAAACCACAAACAAAACAAAAATAAAACACACTTTATTTACAAAAACAGAGATACTTATAGTACCGGCACGCTACGATGGCCGTTTTGACGTTTGTCCGCTCATCAAGTCTCGTGGATGAAAATTTATGGATGTACAATTTTACGACACAACTCGGCATTTGTTTTTCGGAATTCGAAAATTTAAAAAATGACATCTAATAGTATTATCACTTACGGGATCGCTGTCCAGCACAACTTCTACCTCCGGCAAACTCGCGTCAAAGCTCAATGCAAAACAAAGCAGTTTCGATATGACGATAATTAAGTAAACATTTTTATTTCCGTTTTATTAAAACTTTTTAATCAGCTACTTCTTGCAATACTTGTTATAACTTCTAGATGCGGCATACATTTGATTATATTTTTTTTAATAATTAATTGAGATTTGACCTTACTATTGCAATCTGTCAAAACGGCCATCTTAGCGTGCCGGTACTGTAGCGTGGTCACTACTCCGCATTAATTGAAAGGCGCAATACTGGTTTTCACTCGCACGCGTTCTCAATACTGATTTTACAGTTAGAACCATGGACAAATAAATCAACAGGATTGCCAATCGCGGTACAAAACAGCGTAGTCGGGTATTTAGTATCTATTGGTACACCAGATGTCGCGATGAGCACCAAATAACTATTTTTATACCTAATTTGTGAATAATTTACGAACTATAATTTATCAACGCTACTCTAATTTCTAGTGATGACAAACAAATCAACTAGATGGCGCTTATTGCACAGATTTTTACAGATACTGCCGGCTATTCTTTTACTTTGTATAGGATTAGCGCCATCTATCCATACTAGCAAGCTTTAATTTATACATTGGTTTGCAACATACAATGCCATCTATAGACACGCATATTTGTCAAAATTCAGAAAATAATTTTAGCTCATGGTATTTGAATAATATTACAAGGAAAAAACTCGTCATCATCATATCAGCTGAAAGACGTCCACTGCTAAACATAGGCCTCCCCCAGAGATTTCCAGATTTGCCGATCGGACGCGACGTGCATCCATTGGTTACTCGCCACCCTTATCAGGTCATCCGTCCATCTGGTAGGGGGCCGTCCCACTGAACGCCTTCCGGTTCGTGGTCTCCATTAAAGAACCTTTCTGCCCCAACAGCCGTCAGTGCCACTGCCACTTCAATTTGCTAATCCTGTGAGCTATATCGGTGACTTTCGTTCTTCTACGGATATCCTAATTTCTGATTTGATCACGTAGAGAAATGCCGAGCATTTCTCGCTCCATAGCTCGTTAGCTCGTGCGCCTGATGGTAAGCTACACGCCTATCCATAACAGTTGCAGTGTCACTCAGAGCTTCAAATTGCAAAGATCTGAGGGGTACTGCCACTGCGCCCGTCACCCTGTGACATAAGTTGATAAGTCCCATATGCCTGTAATTTCACCAGCACCCTTACCCTTCAAAACCGGAACACAGTAATGCTGACATTACTGCTTGGCGGCAGAAATAGGTAAGGTGGCAGTGCTTCCCTGGACGAACTCTTTCACAAGGAGCTCTACTGCTACTAATTACTATTATTACGTTACGTGGTCAAAGCGGCAACATAGCGAAAATTCTAGCGCGAATCTGTTATCTATAATTCTATTAATAGAATTCTAATTACACAGGTTCATTAGGTATTTATATTAATATAATATTATGTTTTTCAATAATTCTCAACTAGAATAATATTGAAGATTTATTTAAAAAATATATAAAAATCACTTAAAATGTTATATTTTGAACAGGTACTTTAAATAAATTAACCAAGGTTCTTATTTAAGGTTACCTAGGTAATAATTAGGTATATCACTACATAATATTTATCGGCAATACAAATTGAAAATTCGTGAACCCTTGTCTACTCGGTGACGAACTTATGGCGTCTCATTGTATTGATATAATAAATCTGTATTATATATTACTCTGCACTAAAGAAAACAATAACTTAATGAGTCTCAGACATAAGTTTTTTTACTTCGTTTCACCTTCCGGAAAACGAAAGAAACACCTCTCTTTACAGCCGTAAACAACACAATTCACGACCATTATAAATAGTAACGTACAATAATGTTATATATTAATGTACAAGTTTCGTAATGAATATACGAAGACTATATTCAAATAGCGGGTAGGCCCCCCACCAGGTGGACCAACGATCTCGTAAAGGTTGCGGAAAGCCGATGGATGCGGGCAACGCAGGACCGATCGTCGTGGAGATCGTTGGGGAGGCTTATGCCTAGCAGTGGGCGTCGTATGGCTGAATGATGATACTCAAATATCAAAGCCGTCTTAGCGTGAAAACGGCTCGCCTCCAGCCTCGTAGTCGTTCAGTCAATGTGACCATCAATGTGCGGGGCGGAGGGAGGGGCGGAGTGTCCATTCTCGTTACTTTTTGTTCCATGCTTTAGCATTTCTTAGTTCTATTCATCAAAGCTCGTTACTCACATAGAGTGATCATCTAATTGATCATCATAAATCATCTAACCGATATCTAGGATTTTATAATACTCTACGTGAGTAACGAGCTTTGTCGAATGAAACTGAGAAATGCTAAAGTCACGTGTTATGCTCATTTCAGAGAATACAGAACTTTAAAATGCTCCCCTGTAAACATGGCAATTTCGACATACGATTCTTTACGTCGGAGGGGTCGATAGTCGTGTAGTTTAAAGGTCGTGCTTTGCGTATTCAAATGAAGTTGTTCACATATAGTAACAACACGACTATATGTCGTTCACGATTTTTTTGACGTTAAGACGACAGACTGTCAAGACAATGGAAAGAACCTGTAGGTGTCAACTTTGTGTGTTACGCCTCTGGATGAAAAATAAGGAAAATAAGATGTTCAACAAATTTAAATACACTACGACATGACTTTAAAATAAAAACACTACTTTTCAAGTATATAAAGCCGACAATTCGCACTCTCATTAATAAAATGACACAATTGTAAAAGTAATTTTTGTGTAACTGACAAAATAGGTGTAAATAAAACAACGTACGTGGAATGCTTTTTGGCTGACGTCAAATATGATTATATATTTTATATGTAAAACCATAAAAGCTTTAATTTTTTTCTTTTCGTTTTAGAGCGAATATCCACATTCGCAAGCGTGGGGAGAGGCAGAGCTCGGCGAACATATCTCAATCAGATTGAGGATGTCCTTAAAAAAAGACCGGGTTAAAAGTACCAAGAATTAGTATGAAGAGATTGATGGGAGTGGATGAGACGAAAGAAGTTTGTCAGGAGCGTAGCAAGTGGAGGTCCATAGTCTCCGCCTACTCCGGTGGGAGACAGGCGTGATGATAATTGTTTTTTTTTAAACAGGTGCGCATTTGACTTCCATCTCACTTAATGGAAAGCGACGACGACGTCGAAGATGTAGGTTGCACACCTAAATAATGCCTATTTAATCTTGCCTTGAAAAGGCCCAAGGTATAATTTTTCGAGTTTAGTTAGTTCGTTCAGAGAACAAGTCTGCAGGCAGGAAATTCCACTACACAATGTGGAAGCGAAACGCTTGGCGCGAATCCATGGAAAATCCACAACATAGGGGTGCAACCCCAGTCTAAGTGTAGTCCCCCGATGATGGAAAGGAGAAGGCGAAATTAAATTGATTTAATGTTTTTATTATTTAGAGCGATGTTACACGGACGTTGCGTCGTCGCAACGCTTTGATTTCTCCTACAAGTACAAGCTCCTTCAGGTGGCGCGCCGTTTCAACGCATCGTGTGGCATGTCGTTCTGATTTATATGTAGTACAACACAACGTCATCGCAATGCCAACGCAAGTTATCGTGTGGCATCTCTCTTAGTCAGCATTTCGAAAAATTTACTTTTCGTATTGCGCCATTTTCTTATTGAGATTGCGGTTTGTGATTCGCAAACGCAGCCAAGACGCAGGTTGATTTTGTCTTTCATAATTTTAACGAAAAGCAAAACGGATTTCATTCGAGTCTCTTCTTAATACAAGAGAATCGTCGTGGGTCCTAAATTATATACAGGGTGTTAAATTATTTGCGTCACAACCGAAGGGGGTCATTCATAATCGTTAATTTGACTATCATCACCTCGTAAATTGTGTCATCCACTCTTAATTGCCTTTGGCCGAACGGTTACCATCCAAGAGAAATATTTTTATATAATAATTCCCGCGCCGGGAGAAATATTTGTATGGCCTACATTTATTTCTCTCGTGGGGTTGGGTGGACTTTGTAGTTGTCTATGTGTGTGTCTATGGCACCAGGGTTGCAGGATTTACCTAGTGCGTGTGTGCAGGACGCTATGTGTGTGTGTGTGTATGCATATTATATTCTTGCGTTAGGCTCACTTCACTTGAAATTAATTAAAAGATTTAAGTAAAAAATTTGTTAGGTATGCATGGAAGTTTTAAGCATGGAACATCCATTAATATCCTATTGCTAATAAATCAGTGTCATTACAATAAAATACATACATATATAATTTACTTATTGGTTATTTGTGAATTTGAAACTCCCAAAAACGCGTGCAAGTATACTTCATCAGTTGAGAGCTTGACTTCCGCTCATTGTCCTGCGTCTACGCAGTCTGCCAACAACGTTTCATATTAAAATTACAAATCAGTTAATTTTTTTATTTCCCACTGCTGGACATAGGTCTCCCCAAAAGATCGCCACAAACTTCACAAGCTCATCGATCTATCTTGTAGGTGCCCTATCCACACTGCGTCTTCTCCTTGACCCTGTGGGTCACCTATATAAAATTAAAATAGATTTTTATTAAACATATGTATTTGTGCTCTATTCAAAAATGTGAACTGCCTTTTAGGTGTGACGCAATTAAATAACACCCTGTAAACATATGCAGGGCCTAACTTAGATTTATATTTGTATATAAAAATCAATGGAACATTCTACAACAATCCAAGTTTTCTAAATACGAATAGTATGTCCAACAGAATTTTGTTCTACGCAAACTGTTCAACGACATTACCGGTTTTCTTCTTTTGTTTGTTGCGTATACCAGGTTCGCGAAGTTTGGGACTGGTCTACACAAAAAAATTGCAAATTTAATTTACTCACAAGACGAGCTACTTATTTTATATACAAGGTGCTAACAAATAAGTTAGGGATAAGACTTAGAGAAAATTGTTTACCGCATTGTAATCACTTTGAAGTAAAATAAATAGCAAAGTTTGTTAGTTTTTCGAAAAATTTATGAAAACGTATTAATTACTGAACAGCATGTTAATAACAATACTACTTAATGATTAAAACCTGTTTAATGTTATATTTTGAATCTTTTTATTTGTCTCTGGTCGTATTACTATTAAAATGAAAAAGAATGTCAATATCACGGGTCTCTAAATGTACAAGACTATTTATTATGTTTGGACATAATTATTCGGTTTTATAAGAACATTTTTTCCGATGCAAACTGACGACATTAAAATTATCTGCACCAAATATGTTAGCACCTAGTATTAAGAATGTTAATAACAAAATATTATTGTTAAAGCAGTTGCAACACTCGGACAAATCTGTTTAGATTCAAGAATGTAAGGTAAAATTATGTTTAATGCTTTTGTGAGTAATAAATAAATAAAAAATCAAAAACTTTAAGTGTTTCAAAGTAACCTGAGCCGCTCTAAAGGTGGCTTCCAACGGCCTGTGAACTCACGGGCCGCCACGCGCCGAGTCGCGAGTTCTATATCAGGTGAAATTATCAACACATATGAGTTGAATCTTCACATCGAAGCAACTCCGCGCCGGCACAGGCCGTACTCTTTCCACAACGCATTGGTGGGAGGTGGCATGACGCGGTCCGTGAAAACACAGGCCATGGGAAAACCACCTTTACGTATGAGTCTGACGCGTTCAAATGGGCAGATCTAGGTTGTCCATTTTCCATGTTGCTTGAAATCACTGTATCGTCAGATACTACGTAGATCAAAAGAAATAGCTGACACCCTATAGATACGTGCAGAGTAAATTTCGTATGACAGAAAGGCGACTCCAATGCTCATACGAATAACACATTTATTTCAGTGAACGGCTCGGCTGTAGAAGTGCTCTTCAAAGTAATTAGTAAGTGCGACAGTTAGTGTAAATAAATACACATATAGGTTAAGCATGCGTGAATATTTTATTGCATTACAGTGATAAAGTAGAAATTCGTGCTTGAGTTGTTATGAACACAAAAACGAATACGAATATTTGATGACAATATGGCATTGTTATAATTATATCAAGGGGAAAAGAACCGAAACATCAAAATTGCTGATAAAAGCATAAATCAAATTTGAAAAACTGCATAATTTTTTTCTTTATACCCCTTTATATATATCATATATATCATGTTACATGACCACACTTATTGACGCCAAAAAAAGCTTTATGTCAATGCATTAAGAGCGAAAAACACGTGCGCTTCGTTTCACCTTAGACGATGGAACTCGACAGAGGTCGGTAACGAATGGGCTTCCTGTCGATTGTCGATGACCGAACACTGGCTTAAGGTGGCCTCTTACGGCCTGTGATTTCACTGACCGCCCCGGTTTGTACCGGTTTGGTCGTGCTTGTGCTTATGGTAGTGCGAACTCGTGTGTGCGTAGCGAGTTTATTTTCTAGTTTGAGCTGCTCTGCTCTAGCGCCGCATCTTTGAAGTTACTGACACATGGCGGATCCGACAGTCTTATAGGCGAGTCATCGCTGGCACGGGCTACGCTCTTCCCACGGCGCATTGGTGAATTCACAGGCCATGGGAAGCCACCTTTAGATGGCCAATCGGCTTAATGCGACAAGTGTCATGAAACGAAATCGGCTTAAGCTAATCCTACGACTATAAATGTGGTTTTTCCCTAACAAAAACAGTCACAAGGAATATGGAAGTGAACAAATTACATACAAAGCATTAAATAACACATAAAAAGCAATAAACACAAACACAAGTCAGGTAATAAAGCCAAACACACAGGGTCGGTCATGGTTTAAGAGTCATATTACACCAGTGACATTAAAGCGTAGACAGCGAACAACGTTATTGTACACTAATCCCACAATACAAAATATGTTAACGCCTAACGTGATTCTTATATTTAGATTTAGTACAATTTCTTTTAATGTCATGGGAAGAAACAGCTTAAACCAACAATAATGTCGCTAGTATGAATCGACCTTTAAAGTGTGACAAGTTACTATTGGAGTTGGCAGCTGTATTGACTGTCTTTTTACGTAATTTGGAAACTTTATTTCATACCGAGGTTCATAGATCTGAATTAGTCGCGTCTGGTGTTCTATTTCTCTCGTTACTTATAACAGTAAGATTCGTATGATAGAGAAAACAACAGATGTCTGCATATTCCAGTGTAAACGAGATGGATTCCGACTATACAATTGAAAAATAGCAGCTTATTTGCTGTTGGAAAGCTATTAGGGTGCAGTCAGCGCGAATGCAACTGCAGTTCACTTGTAATTGTGATGCAGTTGGCCGGCGTGAAGTACGCCAACGGCACGCTGGCTGCACTGGCTATCGGCATTTGTGATGCAGATTCCCGGTAGAACCAATTTGTGGAGAGTATTATCCTAATTGGTTCTGGCCCAGTACTTTCGTTCTCCATCCGACATAAGTCCGAAACAATTATTTCAAATAAGTTATACTCGACCAAATATAAAAGCATGATGCGAATGAAGCTTCATTCTTTACATTATCTTTTAATTTGGTCTTGTATTACTTATTTGACAGTGACGGAGAACGAGAGTAGACTCCCTGGACTGCACTCACAATCGACAATTGTAATGCAGTTCCCACGGCATACAAACTATTCTCCAACAGCACCCCAACTGCCACTTTGCAAATGCAATGCAGTAGGAAATCTAAACACTTAGACTTACCGGTAGTCATGAGCCGAAGACCAGTGCTGAGGATCAGCTGGCATCAACGTGAAGTTCAGACTGACTGACCCGCTTTGCGGAACGGTCACTGTCTCACTTACGCTTTCGTAGCTGTCGGAAAAAGAAAATATTTTAATATTGATATATTTATTTTTATTGAATATCCCGTTTTTGCTACCAACTACAAAATACTCCAATAATTTTAAACAGGCTTAAAAAAAAAAGAGGAGGTTCTTAATTCGAATATATGTTACGCGATAACTCATTTGTATGTACGACATTTGTGGACCGATTTAGATGATTATTTTTTTGTTGGAATGAGGGTACCTCAGCATTACAATTTGAAGAAAATATTCCACCTCTAAGGGTGGCAAACTGGGGGATGACAACAATTGACTAATTTGGTAGGCACTTTTTTTAATCAACTTGTTACGTAAACCATAGTTTCCCAAAGTGGTCCCTGCCGCCCCACTCAGTGGTAGCTGAAGAGTTCTCAGGAAGTGTTAGGGGTCTCAGAAGCAATTGAGGGGCGTTGATGATCCTGTACAGGGGGTGCTACCGCATTTGAAAAGAAAAACTTAACTTACCTATATAAAGTACAATACATATAAAAATAAATTTATTTCCATTGTGATTTTATTGTGTTAAGTTAATAAAAAAATACGTGTTTTCAATTATTTTTTGTGGTGGTGGGCGTTGATCTTTAAATAGGCGGTGAGCCAAAAATTTGGGGACCTATGACGTAAATTGTCGCTCCTCCCGCACCGCGCAGCTACGTCAGGAAATTACTCAATTAAGCGGTACTTGCTCGGAAAGTGTCATGATATACAGGCAAAATCCAACCGTAATGTCGTAAATTATGCACGCGGACTTTTTCATTGCATTGCATGCATCTGTGTCTTTTATAACATTTTAGTTCCAGTTGCATTATCTATGGAAGAATAGCTGGCAATTTGTTAAAAAGAAAAAACGTCGGGTTTTTTGCAAAATCCGTAAATGTTGTGTTTCGAAGCGATATTTACTCATACAAGAAATAAATTATCGATGAATCTATTTCCTGCCAAATGTGATGAAAAACACTGTATGCACGGGCGGTAAAAATTGCAAACTCGAGTCATTAAGCCCCTCAGCCTTTGACTTCGGGTTTCTCTCGTTAGTATTTTCTTATTTACAGTCCTTAATATACAATGTACTATTTTATATTACTAAAAAGTTTCATGAGATGTTGTACCCATGTCAGCAAAAGTTTCTGAAGGATTAGATCCCACTGCTGGGCAGGGGTTCTGCTAAGGAGAGGGTTAAGATTGTAGTTTATCACGCTGGTCCAATGAGCTGAAGACATTTGGTGACAAACACCCCAGAAGTACTTACCCGGTTTTGCTCGCAGTGATGTTATAAGTGCCGGGTACAAGAAGCCTCCAGTAGTCACCATCTTGTGCAGTCTTCACATTGTGATGGACGCCTTCGACAGATATCGTAGTGCCCGCTAATGGTCTCGATATGTGACTACGTACAAAGCCATGGACGCCAGTGTGTACCTGACATTAAGTTTTTTTATAGATGGAAAATATACTAATCGAGCTTCTTTGACACTTCATTTGATGTTTTACATAGGGACGAGGTAAAGTTGATAGATTTTTAGTCTAGAATATAACAATTATTCTGCAGCGCAGGATATATCGCTTTTTTTGTCTATGGTAGTATATCAATAATTACGCAACTTCGGAGGCTTGCGTATTTCAAAAGTTAAATAAATGATTGGACGGAGTATAATTACCTGTTCGATGTAAGTAAGCAGAGCTTCCCTATTGTCCTCCCAGTAAGTAGGGAGGTCAGCGGCAGGGGGGAACTTGAAGCAGCCTAGCTCCAACGTCAATTCCATGTCATTTGTGTGGAGGTAGTTCCAGTCTTGCATGCCACCTGCTAACACGTACCTGTAGAAATGCGTAGAGTCAGATGTGTTACAATTTATTTCTTATAAGTATTGATATCTGTAGGACATATCTGTCGAAGAACTGATAACCGATGGGGAAAAAGGGTTCTAGAGTGGAGACCGCGACTCGGCAAACGTAGTGTAGGACGCCCTCCGGCCAGGTGGAGGGACGACCTGCGAAAGGTTACTGGCGAAATGGCGCACATTGGGGGAGGCCTATGTCCAGCAGTGAACTGCGATAGGCTGATGATGAGGTATGATAGGCGAGTGCGTAAGTATCATATAAATATTATTAACCTAACGCCTAACACGGAATAATTAATACAGTAGAAGTGGTTAGTTAGCATCACACGCGTGCCAACTGTAAGCACAGTTGTACCCACTTGAGTTCAAGCCGCTATTTTAGCTTTGTACGGTATGGTTGTGTCAATTCTTTCGCGCAAATTCTCTAAAATCGTAGAAAATGACTTATAGCGCTGTTTTGGAGTGCAAAAATGATGGCCATACCAAAAATATTATCCGTGATGGTTTTTCACGTCATCACATCATTTTAGTAGCAGTAGAGCTCCTTGTGAAAGAGTTCGTCCAAGGAAGTACTGCCAACTTAACGTATTTCTGCCGCCAAGCAGTAATGTTAGCATTACTACGTTCAGGTTTAGAAGGGTAAGGATGCTGGTGAAATTACAGGCACATGGGACTTCTCAACTTATGTCTCAGGGTGACGGGCGCATTGGCAGTGCCCTTAAGATCTTTGCGATTTAAAGATCTGAGTGACACTGCAACTGTTAAGCCCGCTCCACATTCTTGCCAAAACTTCACGAGAACAGCCAAATCCGAGAGTGTAGTGATCATATTCGTAAAGTCTCGCTTAAGTTCGTGTCGTATTTCGGACCCGAATCAAAAGGCTCTCGTGTAGTTTTGTGTTTGCGCGAGACCCTTTCCTCCACATTCCTGTCATGGCAGTCCGCCGGCAGTAACCGCAGTGTTCTGTTGCGATATATTGATGTCATCCACCATCTGCGTCTATTCCTACGTCTCTTAATAAGTTTTTTTTCTCGAATTAACAAAAAATTGTATTATGCTATAGCACATAATGCTGCAGGAACAGACGTATCTAACACGTCCATCTTGTATGACTACCGAACGGACAACTGTGCGGGCGAGAATGTGGAGAGCCACTCTCGGTCTCGTCCTGTCTCGGCGAGACCCGAGACCGCGATGTCTCCACGAGAATGTAGGAGCCCGCTTTATAGGATAGGTGTATCGTTCACCACGACTTCTTTGCCTCGTCACTTGGTAATATAAAAAAAAAACCTTTATTTACCAAAAACCGGATTACATTAATTTGCATTTACACTATAGTTTATGTTTCATAATGCTATTATACCAGTGATTTGTCGCGGTGCCTGCACAAAGTATACGCTTGTATCGCAGACCTTGGATATACCCGGGAACTTTACATTTGTGGCACACAGTTTAATGTGAGAGACACATGGTGTCCCTAACGATTTTGGTACTGTAGAGTCCCAGAAACTTGCGAGTCACGGTGTCTAACGTACAGCAGTGCTTCATCAACCATTTAAAAAATATATAATAAAAAAAAATACTAAAAAAGGAACACCGTGTGTCTCTAGGATGCGTGACGAGTTAATGTAGATTCAAGGGATTAACAATAAGAAAACGAATTTATGTAATAAGTATTATCATTAACCCTACGGCAAACCAATATGGCATGTAATAAGAGCTACTTCGCGGCAGAAATAGTTACGGCAGTGGACAGATAGTTTCCCTTACCATTTAGCGCCATTAGTGATGCCTTCTGGGAACCTTTCGTTGGGCACTTCCTTACACGGTTGGCCTAAGTGCATCTTATGGTGAGTCTGAGGACAAAAAACACAGTAACTGCATTTTTTAAATTAGTTTCAGTCTCGTCAAGGAAAGTGAAGAAATTTGGCCTGTATCAAATTACATTAATAATACTGGTATCATGACTGTGGCATCACAGTACATTTGCTCAAATATTTTGTGTGCCCGTAAAAATATACATAATTTCATTAAGAAAGAAGATATCCATAATATTAACCTAGAACTAAGTCCAAACTCATGGTACCACAAGTTCGTTTAAGTAAGATAGCCTTTAACTTTTTAGTGCGTACCAGCCCCAACGCTTTTCTGAACACCGCCCACACACAGCACAGCGTTTGAACATTGGTGGAGCCCACATAAACAATTACAATGTATTACTAACACTGCTTAAACAACAGTTTTGATTGTATACGAACAAAATATGGATTATCGAGTTCTTAGGTAAACCGTGACCATGGGACCTTTGGTTTGTGTGAAAAAACAAATATACGCGATTAAAATCCGGAAAAATAGTTTCATTTCCTAAAATATGGATTATTTTTTATCTGAAATAAATTATAGTATTATTATTAGCGTTCCTTTGAGTATGTTCAAGAGTACAGGAAATTCCCACACAGACCAGAGTCAATTTCAAAAAGCTCATTTCCCGAATTCCGGACGTCTTCGTCCTGTGTGTCGATTTAGAAACTTACGATAACTCAGTTGTCGACCAATTCGATTTGATATCGTAGGATTTCTTTACATTTTTACTCACAATAACCGAATCGAACGTCAAACTGTCGTATTCGAAACCGAACCGAAATGACGTCACACCCGTACGATTACTCCAACTTCTCGACCGGCAAAGGCTACAAACGTTATGCAGAACACAATTATCGGATGACATTTACCGAACGTCCTATTGTTTATAAAGCAATAATGTCGAATGTAAGAAGAGGTTGGCAAACTGGTTGCAAAAATTAAATTATGATGATACGGAAAAGTTGCTTCATCCAATAGTCTGACACAAACATAATGATCTGTTATTGGTACACACACTTACATGCACACACATACACACACATGTATCCAAATCACACACAACCAAACACACACACACACAGTGCGCAGAATACACGTAGAACACTTAGAAGAATTATCTCGAAGGTTTTTCTGTTACCGTAACTTATTTATTTTTTTATATGAATATTCTAATTTCTGTCATCTTTTTTCTCTCTCATACATATAATTTGTGGTTGGTATATGTATACTTAGTACCATAGGTTTCATTTGCAAAGGTTGGGGCCTGGTGACCTATAGCAAGCACCAGCTCCTACAAAATACTGTTCTAAAATTACTATTTTATTTTTATTATTTTTTTTATATTTATTAAGCAGATTAAGCTCCGCTGCATACGCAGTCCGCAGAATACGTGAGCTTACCGATGTTAGTACTGCTAGACTAGGTTACTTTAGTTACTTCCATAGTATAATGTCCTACGGGATTCTCATGTGGGGTAAAGCGGCAGATATTCAAACCACATTTGTATTGCAAAAACGAGCGATTCGTTCCGTGTACCGTCTAGGCTCTCGGGTATCTCTCAGAGAAAAGTTTAAGGAGACTTGTATCATGACTGTGGCATCACAGTACATTTACTCAAATATTTTATATGCCCGTAATCATATACATAATTTCAATAAGAAAGAAGATATCCATAATATTAACCTTAGAGCTAAGTCCAAACTCATGGTACCACGATTTCGTTTAACCAAGGTAAACAACTCTTTTATGGGGAACTGTATACGTTTTTACAATAAGATTCCGGAGCATATATTAAGTTTATCATTTCCTAAGTTTAAAAACTACATTAAAAATATATTTGATCGAAAAATCATATTACAAAGTTGAAGACTACGTGTTAGATAAAGATGTATGGAAAGACGACATGGCTCCAGAATCCACACAAATTTGATTCAAAGTGTATTCCATAGCATTTAAGTTTATTTGAAAAGAGCAATCCCTAGAGTTTCTTGCTCGTTCTTCTCAGGACGGTCAGCGTAGTGAACGAGCAGTAGCTTAACTGTGACGTTTTCAAGTGTAAATTTATTTTACCTATGGAATAAATAATCTTTGACTTTGACTAAGATTGTTTATGTACTTCTTATTTGTTGTTGTATTTTGTGGAGAAATAAAAAGTATTATTTTATTATTAATGTAACATGGAAATCTCTTATTAAGTTAAATTAAGTCTGGATTTTGTTCAATTTTATTAATTTATTTTAATGCGAGACTAATGCATTCCTATATTTTAGGACCTTAAAGTCTTCAAAATGTATATAAAAGGATTTTTATTTTTCTTATAATCTACTTCACCGACTAACTTCGTAAACGCTGTTGGATAACGATATCATATCCGAATCTATAATAATAATAATAATAACGCACACACTCAACATAGCCCCGCACTAGGGAAACCCTGTGTCGCGGGTGCCATGGACACACATAGACAACCACAAATTACACCCAAACTCACGAGAGAAATAAATGTAGGCCATACAAATATTTCTCCCGGCCCGGGAATCGAACCTGGGACCTCTGCGTGGCAGTCCGGCATGGTAACCGTTCGGCCACAGAGGCAGTTATCTGAACCGAACGTTTAGTGCGAATGTCCTGAATTGCTCGGAAATAGTCCTTCGATTCGAGAACGATATCTAATCGAAAGATTTGGTTAAAATGACGAAGAGTTCTGAATCGGACTGCAGGGCCGTCAGTGCAAACCGTTGGGCAACACAGGTCGTTAAGTGAATAAGAAATACTTACATCAGAGTAAGTGTGAGCGAGATGCAAAAACACAGGCTGGTCAGGGGATGGATTTTCTATTCCGCTCTTCATCTCGGCGTTAGCGTCGTACGGGTAGTTAGCGACTAGCGCGCCGCCGTGCAAGTTCGCAGAGAGCGCGAACGGCGTGGACATCGACCAGTTCATCACCGCCTGGGTTTCCGGTTCTTGGACTTTGTTGTCCTGGAATAATAATTTAAGAGCGTTGAACAATTAATATCTCTTGATGATGCCTCGTAGGCACTTCCCAGGTCTTATATAGAACATGGCGTCATCGGACAAAATGTCTTCAGTCTAATTCTCAGATCTCAGATTCAAATTTATCCTTGCCTAGAAGAGATTGCTATCTAGCAATAAGACCGCCTGTTTTACCTGCCTTTTTTTAATGGTTGTGTTTGTTCATATGTGCAATAAAGAGTATTTGTATTGTAATTACCGCAGTTGCTCCAAATTGGTCTGGGAAGTTTCTGTTCAAGTCCACATCGTGAGCGTTGCCTCTTCCTCTTAGGCTTGTGTGGTCACCTGTAATACATTTATACAGTTGGAATTTTTTTTTATTATATATTTTTTCATAATATTAAGTGGCGGGACGAACAAGACGTGCGCCTGGTGGTAAGCTACACACCTGCTGTCCATAACAGTTGTAGTGCCACTCAGAGCTTATAATCGCAAAGATCGCAAATCGCATTGCACGATGTAGCTGTCACCACACGCGCCTATGTCAAATACTCGTCCGTTATTCACGCTTAAATCATCATGCTTAAATAAGCAAAATAACGATGAAATAGTGTAAGAGCACACAGCGTATTTTCGGCGGAATAGTGGCTTCAGTTGTACCAAGCACAAGTCCGATCGTGTATGGAGCACTGTTGGCTCTGCTACATACCTAGTGGACACCTTGGATAAAATCGACAAGCGTGTCAAGAGGCTTTAAGGCGACTCGGAATTAATAGAGGTGAAGTTGCAGAACGCCACCGTAATGTTGCCTGCTCATCGATATTCCACAGGATATATCGACCCCTCAGACGTAAAGTATCGTACGTCGAAATTGCCAAGTTTAGAGGGGAGCTTTTTAAAGTCCTGCACGTGAATTTAGCACTTCTCAGTTTTATTCGGCAAAGCTCGTTACTCACATAGAGTATTATAAAATCCTAGATATCGGTAAGATGATTTATGAGCTCTGAATAGAACTGAGAAATGCTAATATCATGTGTTACGCTCATTTCAGTGAATTCAAAACTTTAAAACGCTCCCCTGTAAACTTGGCAATTTCGACATACGAAACTTTACGTAGAAGAGGTGTAGATATTATCACGGAGAGTGTGCCCCCTTTCCATCACCGGGGGACCAGACGTAGGCCAGGTTTCTCCCCTAAATTGTTTATATTCCAAGGACTCGCACGAAACGTTTTTTGAATTGAAAAAGCCGTGGTAACGTAATAGTTTGACGGATCTCCAGTAAAGGCTGTGGATTCGAATCAGGGTTGGCACTTCTGTGTGTTTCGGAATTCATATGCGAAATTTCATTTGGAATTTACAATGAGCGATCGACCTGCGTGTCGAAGAAGGTTCACAACGTTCGAAAACTTGTGAAGTGTTTAACCCGCATCAGCCCAGCAGTGGGATGTGTAAATGGGTTGATGATGATGAATGTATGAGTTTCTGAGGTCTGTGTACTCTCAACTTGTCCCTGAAACGGCCGTGATTGCGTGTTGTTACTATTCTTACCTTCAAAGCTCTGTTCGTATCCATCAGGGTTCATACTGGGCAAGAGATGTATTCTAGTATTGTTCAATAGTCGTTGGACTCGTTCGTTGCCTTCGTAATATTTCTGACAGAGATATTTTGCAAGAAGAAGCAGCATTTCTCGCCCAATCACTTCGTTGCCGTGCATGTTTGCTACGTATTTGAATTCTGGTTTGCCTGGAAATTGAATAAATAGGTATTAGATTAGTGGTGATGGCCTAATGAGAGAATTGTCTTATTTTTTATTTATTTATTTATATATTTCAGGCCACATGAGTTCATTTGACACATACAATATACACCTTAAGGACTAACATATATACAATATAATAAAACGCTATACAAACAATATAATAACTAATCTAAACGAATTGCACTTGTCGGCGACGTGTGGCGCAATCTGTGTTAGAAATATTCGATTTTTTTTAAATGTTTGAACTTTCTAATTACCGTATCCATGGCAACGGTAATTAGATATAATTACCGTTTCTATAAAATGTTTGTTTTTTAATAACTCGAAAACTATTTTGTCTATTCTAATGCCATTTAGACATACTGATAGTTAAGCTTAAAGTTGTTCATATTTCAATGTTATTGGGTATATTAAGCGAGAAAAAACAATGGCTACGGTAATTAGGCTGAAGACACCGAAATGGCTACGGTAATTAGACTGAGAGTACCGAATGTGAGAATGGCCGATAAGTAAAACGTTACGACATAATGATCCTGAGGTAGGTGCGCGGTGCGGGAGGAGTGACAGTTTACGTAACAGTTATGTCGCGCTGCACACGGGATAATTCCAACAAGATTTTTCTTACGATATTCAATAGCAAGTTCATTGAAAAAAGTGCTTACTCACATTAGTAATACTATTTTGATAAATGAAATGCATAGACAAGCCATTTGGTACTTTCTTCAATCAACTTATATATAGCGTACTCATTACATAGCTGTAACTATAACGTGACGAGGTTCCAGTGTGTACGCGTGAAACAGCCTTCATTCGCTAGAATAAGTACTGATTATCGTCGGCTCACTGCGAACCACGTACACACTATGATTTTTAATAACATTATATGCAACAGTTACTGTCACTGCTTGCTTGTGAGTACCTGGCTTTCAAGCCGCGCTGCTATTTCTGTACTGAGTTACCATACTTGTTCTTATTCTATTATGGTATAACGAGTTGACAATGACTTACCAGGCACATGCTTTCCAGGATCCTTAGTAACTTCTAGAACGTACAAGTCGCGTCCTTCTACAGACTTTCCGATGCTAGTCAGCCGGGTAATATCAGGGTATTTCTCATGTAAGGTCTTGAGGTACTGCTCCATTTTCTCGAAGTTGTGGTGGACAAATTCAGCTGCGGAGAGACCGTCGGAGTGGTCACGTGCGCTCCTGCTATGCTCTGTTGATTTGTTAGTTCCTCTTTTCTTTGCTGGATTTTTTATAAAGCCAAATCTTATTGTATTTTTTTTAGATTATTAAGTGTTTAAATAAATTTTGTTGAATGTTTTAAGTTTAGATCTTAATTGTTTTTAAAGAAATTGTAAACAATACTTAAGTGTATAAAATTTTTAGGTTTTCGCGATTGTTGCTTATGGAAAATGAAACTATTTTTCGGATTAAATCGCGTCACTTGTTTTTTAGATCGGAAAAAATAGATTCAATTCTTAGTAATACATGTTAATAAAAATGTAAGTAAATTAATTTGCTACTCGACGAACCCAGTTAGGGTTATATCGTGCAAGTTAGCTTCCTATGTGGTGGATTTTTTTTTCATGCAGTTAAATTTGCACGAGCTCGCGGAGTAGCAAATAAATTTACTTACATTTTTATTAACATGGCTTTCCACAAAGGGACACTATTAATACTTGTAATTGTGATATTCCATTATTGAATAAAATAAAAACTTTTTCAAATGGTTCTATTTCTCAAGTAAAATTTCAATTGGCAAAATGGTCCTTCGAGCCGGATAATACAAGAATATTTGTTCTACTTTTAATTAATAACAAATACAGTACAATATATATGTATTACATTTTATGTCAACCTTTCCCGAGTTTAAGTATGATTGTGCATTTATTTTTAATAACTACAGCAAGTGCGAAGAATTAGTGAAGCTACCTTCCTTGTCTAACCTTCAATGTTTATTAACACTTGTGTGTTTTATTTACGTGTTTCGAATCTATAGTGTGTGCGTACGTGTTATGTACTTTTATATTATTCACTAAGAGCATGAGCTTAATTCTTTGGTATATAAACGTGATACACGCCTTAACGTCGGCAAAAGGAATTTAAAATACATGAAACCAAGAAAAGAAAATAAAGAACTAAAAGGAACAAACCAATAGAGCATAACATTATCGATTCTTCGGGAAAGAAAGGGCGTAAATACCGAATTCTAAAGTTTACACGATAAGTGGAAAATGTAACCAGGATAGGCAGGAATATTTTTTTTCCACGAACATTACCGGTCCGCCATATTGGATTTGTAAAGAGAACAAACTATACTCGTACGTAACTACGTCATGTAGCAGTATTTTTTTCCTCGTACATTACCAGTCCGCCATATTGGTTTTGTAAGGGGAACAAACATTCTTGCTACATTACCTGGTTTTACATCAGGAATAACTTTTCCTCTCCCAGTCCTGATAATTAACTGGGTCATGTACGGGTAACAGGTCACATCCTTTTTATTTTTATAATTGTGATAACGTTATGTTAAATTTTGAGAAGACAGACAGAATGAGCATGGAAATTGACTATATAAACAACTATTTTTGATAAAATTATTTTTTTTCCATCTTTTCTTTCCCGAAATATGGATAAACTAACTTATTAAAAAAAACACAAAGAAAACTGAGAAAAATTAAGAAAATATGTATTTGTTAGTCGTATTAAAACTCTTAGAGGTTTCCAAAAGTCTTTATTGATAACGATTTGTTAATTACAAAGCTGTATACACTACCTTTTTTACTAACAATGATAGAAAATGGTAATTTACTGTAGGAAGGTGGCATTAATTAAGTTCAATTTTGATCATCACTTAAACCATGGACCAGTGACTCATGAGAACTGATAATTCAAGTATTTAACCAGAAATAGAGACGAAATGTCATTTAATTTGTTCGAAAACTATTCTGCCAAATCATTACGGTGACAACTGCGCTCCGATTGGCAAGCCCGAATTCGAAACAATTGACGGGTGTCGTTTGCTATAATGGTCGAAAATTGAAAAATTACATAATATTTTATTTTTAATCACCGATGACATGTGATTCCGTTTGTTTTGTAATTAGACGTTTTGCTGTTTTTCCGATACCACGGAATGGAACAGCCCCCCACAGTTAGAGATATTATCTTTATTACAATAAATACAGAATATTTTTGGAATATACGGAGACGTACACCACACAGGTCAGTTGTTGGCGCTGTACTATTTCGGCTTTCTAATTCGTGTTTTCAGCGCAAACGAGAGTTGACATTTAAAAGTGATATAAGGCCTATTTGCCTTTATTTCGTCTCTATTTCTGGTTATATACTCGATGTTTCCATACTACAGATCGTAACTCTGAAAAAGATCAAGATTCCGTCTTACATCTAGATGGCGCTGATAGATAGTTTGGAAGTAGTTTACGTTACGTAAACGGCCGTAGATAACAATTAATTAGGAACATTTTATCATAATGGAAAATGTCCAACACGACATTTCAAAATTCGATACACCGACAAAATTATCACCCTTTATATCGACGATTGACATTTGAAATGTCCTAAGAGTAGTTTTGTAGTGTTCATTTACCTTACAACTAAATGTCCCTTGCGGCACTTCAAATTTCTACGGTCGATATGAAATATAGGAAATCAGTTTCTTTTTCTATTATTATTCAAATATTGATCTTGAGCTAAATTTTTTTTCTGAACTATTGTCATAGTGTCAATAGATGGGATTGTGTGTTACAAACTAATTTATAAAGTAACGCTTCCTAATATGGGTAGATGGAGCTAATCTTAAACAAAATAAAAGAATAACCGACACTATCCATAAATATCTGCGCAATAAGCGCCATCTAGTTGATTTGTATATTATCACTAGAAACTAAAGTAGCTATGATAAATTTTTGTCAATGTAAAACAAATTGGTTACAAAATTGCTATTTGGTACTCGTAGCGACATCTGGTGTGCCAATAGCTACTAAATACTCGACCACGTTGTCTTGTATCGCGATTAGCACTCCTCTCGAAATATTGGTCCATGCTTAAACTGATGCCTTGTTAACAAATGGTATTATATTTCAAGATAGTAACCCGTCTCAAACTATAGGTTGTCTTTTTTGAAAACTGAGGAAAATAACATTCGTAAGGTTGCCAGTTTTCATAAAATTTTAAATATTTTTGTAGTTCTCGTCGATAGTTTTATCGATAGATTGTGAAAGATAAAATTTTGCAAAAAATGGCTGAATTATGAAAGTTATGACGTTCGCAGTGATTACTAATTGCGTCATTGTCGTCTTCTTATTTCGACAGTTGACCTACTAGTATCGAGACCATTTTTATTCACAAACATTTAAAAAAAAATAGCCGGGTTTGATTATCTATATTGAATTAAAATGAAAAACTTTCAAATATGTCTCCTCTTTGTATTTTTCATAAACGCAGGGTATTTATGTATGGACTTACAAAACTTGATTATTCAAATTACTTGTGCTCGGCAATTGGATGAGTAATGGGTCGAGGATGATGCAAATGAAACAATTTCGGCTATTTATTCCATAAGTGTGACCAATATTCAGTCGATAGTCAATAGAATATTTATCGACTACAATCACTAGCTGCTCGCAAGCGGGCAACACTTTTACGCAACGAACTGTCATTTTACTCCGTCTTCAAAAAAGACAAGGCTACACAAACCTTAAATACTTAGTCGCGTGACCTACAATTCTAATGCACAGGATGTGCATAATTGCAATAGGAAAGCTGTTGAATGCAGTTTCACGACTGCTACGATGGGCAATTTCTATTTCTACAACCAAAATCTATCTAGTCAAGCATACACCTTGGGCATAGTCTCACCAGTCCCCCAAGACCAATAATTTTCTTAAAACCACAGGTCATTGTAATTCCGTTGAGACTCTACTGAGATCATATCGCACTGGTAATACAATAGTGTAATAACTCAAAAAGTGTATTTTATCGGGATTGATGAAAAACGAATTAGTCACTTCCCGTGAAAAATCGTTAAATCTTATGTTTAGATCGAGTTCTTAGGTTTTCGCGATTGTTACACATAGGAAATGAAACTATTTTTCCGGATTTAGATCGTGTATATTTGTTTTTTCAAACAAACCGACGTCTCGGGCCCTTTACAGGTCCTATGGTCACGGTTGACTGAGCTGGTACAGTCTTCAACCAGTTATGACTAATATTAATGCAAACCACCCTATTTTTTCACTATAGTTACAATACTTATTAATTAAATACCTTATTTTTAATTTTACAATTTGTAAAATAGTTTCATTTCTTATGTTTAGGTTAATGTTTATTACAGGGATCTAAACTTGCCAAATATACTTAAAAATAAAAGTGAAATATAATTTCATATATTTAGGGATGGACTGTCTGTTTAGAACTAGCTCACATAAAGTTTGTCTCATTTTGAGCTAAGCGTCTCAGTTTGAATTTCACGTATTTTGAATTACAATACTTTTGTAATAGCAGTTGCAATTGTGATAATATTTGTTATTCTGCTAAAATGTACTTGCAATGGCAGTTAAGTCTCAACAGTGTCGGTGGAATGGCAATGACGACATTCAATCATTAAATCACTAACGTCCGATGTTGCCTTACTGAAACTAATCTAAATTAATCTTAATTTTTATGTGGTTTAAACTGCAAATTAGATTAGAAATAAGCATCGAATGCCAATGAAAGAAAAACTCATTCGTTAGCTCTGCAAAAGATGGCCTTTCTTTCACTTTGGAGTAGACCTGTGGACGGCAGTGGATTCTAAAAGTTTTGAGCGCGGATACATCAACTTACGAAAGTCGATTCACAATTAGAGTAACAATAATGGAACGCATGTGGGACAAATATATATAGATAAAAATAAATTTTAATTTATTATCTGAACATACACAACCATCTTTAAATTTACAACCATAAATAACTAACATTTCATCTAATCACTGGCTAATTATCACAAAAAATTAAACTTGCGTATAAAAAGATATTTTTTAGTACAAGACGGTATTCTTTTGTAAAATACGACATTCTTTTGTAGAAGACGATAGTCTTTTGTAGAAAGCGATATTATTTTGTAGAAGATAACATTGTTTTGTAAAACACGACATTCCTTCGTAGAAGATAACAGTCTTTTGTAGAAAGCGATATCCTTTTGTAGAAGACATTCGTTAGCAGAAGTCGACATTCTTTTGTAAAATATGTAATTCTTTAGCAAACCACGGTATTTGTTGGTGAGCACGACGTTTTTTTTTTGAAGGAATGATATGTTATGAAAAAATTTGTAAAAATGACTTCGCAAGTGACAGTTCAACATTCCCACAAATAGTCGAGATTTCTTGCTTAAAATTGCATCTTACATAATTTGATTTTTGACTTATAATATTCTATTTGTTCACGTTGTGATGGGGCATCCGCTTGTATGTATTATCTATCAACTATATATACATAGATTACTACTTACTGAACTAGATACTACTGACTTTTTATACTACAATAAAAAAGAACAAAACTATCACAACAATTAAGCTATAAAGCCTTGTACAGCGCTACTAGCGTGTTGTTATCAACTTAAATTGTGTCACTTGCATGAATTGGGAAAAAATATGTGGCCAGTTTTTTAACACTCGGTCAATAAATTATTAACCAATTTACTTGGACGGTATTATAATTTTCATACAGCAATGGTGATAGGAATTTTGTGTAACATAAAATAAATGCATTTATAGAAACTTCACATACATCATTCAATTGATTTGAAGATGTGTGCAGGTTTCTTCGGGACGTTTTTCTTCACCGAAAAGCTCATGGAAAATTTGAAATAAATTTTCGCACATAAATTCCGAAAACACAAGGGCGCAAGCCCGGATTCGAACCCACGACCATCTGCTTTGTGGTTTCGTAGTATTAGACATAGAGTACCTAATACTCCTTCTGAAATCCGGTATGACTGAGTTTTTAACCGACTTCAAAAAAAAGGAGGAGGTTCTTAATTTGACTGTATGTTTTTTTATGTATGTTACGCGATAACTCCGCTATTTGTGAACCGATTTTCATAATTCTTTTTTTTTTTGTTGGAAAGAGGTACCTCCATAATGGTCCCATTTAATTTTGAAGAAAATCATCCACCTCTAAGCATGAAGATTCATTTTTATAAATAGCGTCTAAATTTTATTATGAGAAGAGGATTTTAATGGTTGACTTTGCTATTCTCCAATTCAAGGCGTTTTTCTCTCTCAATATACTTTGAGTGGCGAGAACCGATTTTTATTATCTCCTGTGTCAAGTCCCGTAAGGTGACGAACTAAAGGATTAATCTGATTTCAATAAATCTTGGTGATTATTTGTAATTCCACGTACTTTTGAGGTCGGTTTTTTTATTACTCTGTATTGAGATTATGTTTTATATTTTTGATTTGTAATTAGCAATTAATTAACTATGGTAGTTGGTATATTTAGAAGAGAAGTTTTGTAAAATTATAACTCTTTTTATTTTTAATCGTTCCGGGATTTCTGAAGGAGGTATTATAAACTCTGTGTATATAATTTAAAGTTAAAGTAAATATACTTTGTCTATTTTGGTCTTTAGTTATAAGTTTTCGGGTATTTAAAGGCAAAGACTTTGTGGCATCGTTGGTATAAGGCTATACGCTGCACAAGGCTTTAGTAAATCTAATTAATTAGATCTCGGTTTGTTTTTACGATAATAGAAGAACTAAGTTTACTTTATAATGGTTGTGTTGTAATTTAATTAATTTATTTATTTATTATAAAGGTTTAACTTACAGTACACTATGTTGTGGCAAAGTAACTTTTAAGGAGACAACACATTGTTAACTTCATAATTGTAGTAACCAGGGCTTGGTACCGGTATAAAAATACATGTATTGGTTTGCAATGCGATACCTGAATACCGGTACAAATTGCAAACCGACATATTTACCTAAAGGCACCGGTATTCATTAACGGTTGTCGAGACGTTTTGTCGGCTACATTCGGCTGCGGCCATAAATTTTATTTAATTACATTTAAATAATGTGGTACCGGTTCCTGAAAATATTCCGGTATTCCGAGACCCGGTAGTAATTGGCTTGAGGCAAATTTTTAACGGCAATGTATTTTCGATTGAGTACTTTACATATTGAGTTACAACTCGTGGCAATATTAATTAATCAATTAGTTGTATTTATTTATAAAAACGTACATACACGATTAGTAGAGAATTGTCGCTTATAATAGATGAATAACAACAGCATGTCTTAAGTCAGTCATGACAAGATTGTCTGCTGACTGCTAGCACGACAGAGCGATATAAAGCGAGACATACTGCTATTCTCCATTAGAGATCTCTCGCTTTATGTCGCTCTCGCGCAAGTCGCGTCCTGCCGTGCTAGCCCTGCTGGTATGACTACGATTGTCTACGATATGACTTATCTAAAGCGAAAATGAAAATATAGATAAATTTGAACTTTTCTTGTCTATAAAAAAATATGATTTATGAGTAATAACTACACAAAGTAGCATATTTAGCGGAAAACTAGTAAAATCTCCAAAAATTGCAATATTTTTTAACCGACTTCACAAACAAGTAGTCGGTTCTCAATTCGATTGTCTTTTTCATATGTATGTTACGCGATAACTCGATCGAAGATCGGTTTTGATAAGTCTTCTTTTGTTGGAAAGAGGGTACCTCAGTACGCAACTAGGCAAGTTTTATTGAAATCGGTTCACAAATGTTATCGCGTAACATACATACAAAAAATAGTCTAATTGAGAACCACCCTCTTTTTTGAAGTCGGTTAAAAATATGTTAATTTAATTGGTACTTTATGTCTAATTGTTATTCATTTAAATATAAACGTTACTACTTTATATAATCACTTCCTTTTTATTCCGCTAAATGAGCTAGTGTATGTATTTTGATATGGTCCTTAAATTTATGAAGTACATTTAAAATATTTTAGAAAATCTTGCATGGAATTTCATAAAACGAACTACCGTTTTATGAAATTCCATTAGTATTTAAATCATGCTATGACGCTAGCTCCTAGGTTCAATACACAAACTCTATAATTCACAGGTTATACATATAAAACGGGTTCAATATGTGTAGCCAACGTGAAGATATCCCCGAATGTAATACAAAAGCTTTAAAAACTAGAGGCCACATTTTTAGTATTGCAATCTAAATAGCCAATGTAAAGAGATCTCCAGTATTAATAAAGAAACCGTAACAACCGGAAGCTTTTAAAAATTGTTCATGCCTTCACTACCAATACCAGAAGTAAGTTAATTATAAGTACAGTGCAATGCGTGAGAGAGACGCCAGTGTTGCCATGGAAACGCAATGTGGACTTACCATCGCTTAACTCCTGTTTTAACGTGATGTTCAGTGTTAGGGCTGTCGTTTGGTTAACTGGTACTGTCACTTTGAGTGGTACGGGTGATTTGTAACTGGAAGAAACATGAGAAAAATTCACTAGAAATATGTTTTGTTTTTCAAGCAAAGTTTATTAGCTCATGAAACCTGCAAGTCGATATGATGAACAGGCATTAGGCTAACATGGCCTAAACCCTCTTTTTATATAATAAAAAAGAAAAAAGATGATGTTCAAAAAGAATGAAAAATAAAACAAAAAAAGATTATAAGAAATAAAAAAAAACAAAAACATTAGTAACGATACACAGTAAATAGCGCTAAATAGTATATAACGTTGCACTTGTATTTAATATACCATTTAAACCATGTAGTAGATTCATCGAGTATGTAACCAGAAGTAGAGACGAAATAAAGGCCATCCATCCCAGGCAACTTATCAGGCAAATGGGCCTTGTATCACTTTTAAATATCAACTCTCGTTTGCGCTGGAATCACAAATTAGAAAACTGAAATAGTACAGCGTCAACAACTGACCTGTGTGTACGTCTCCGTATATTCCAAAAATATTCTATATTTATTGTAATAAAAATAACATTCTCTAACAATGGGGGCTGTTCCATTGGTGGTGTGGGGACAACAGCAAAAAAATTAAATGACATTTCGTCTCTATTTCTGGTTATACACTCGACGATCAGATTAAATACAGGGTGATTTTTAAAATACTAACAACCTTGCAGGAAGATTACCAACATCATAAATAACAACTTTTGATCCAAGACTTTTGGCAAAACATCATAAATGTACCAAAAATAAACTTTTTCTCAAACATGCTAGGAAATGTTTGCATTACTTTCAAAAAACGAACACGGAAAGCTTGTCAGTATGGACAGTGCGACTTCTTCCCGGCCAAGGCCCTCAATGGAAGTATGAAAATCCATTACTGTCCTCTTCTCTAAACTTTTAAATCTATTTAGTACTAAACAATGAACTACGTAAACAGGCAAAAGAAAAAATCATACAGCCAACTGCCCAGTGTTCGTGATAGCGAGAATTAAAAATAACTATCTGTACTGTTATCTTTTTTTTAAAAAAAAGGTGGTATAATAAACTAAAGCCCTTTGGTATTATTTTCTGCTTTTTGGTCTTTTTTGTATTTTCGTCGAAAAAAATAGTTTCAGTGAGAAGAGCAATAACGGAAATATAGTAATTGATTGTGCTCCGATTAAAACAAGGGGTAATATTAGCCATGGAAAACTAATACATGAAAACTTATGAAATTTTCATGAACTATAATAGCTGTTTTAGAAGTCCAGCAGACTACTTAACTATAGAATACTAATATGTGTCTGGAAAAATAGCAACAGATACTTTTAGCAAATTATCCTAACAAGTCAAAAATTTATTATGTTTTTTTTTAACTATTTTTTATTATACATCTCTTCTCTTTGGTCTTTTAGTATTTCTTCACATTTTTTTGAGAAAAGCACTATACAAGCCTCGGCGGGAACGGAGATTGCTTGACTCGTATTAATACAAGGCTTCGCTAGCGCTCGGCCTTGTAACTCATACTCGTCCAGCAATCCCTTACTTCCCGGCCTCTGCAGTAATGTACTATTACGTTTTTGTTGTATTATCTGACACTTTTTAGACTTTTATTTGGTGGAAAGGTAGTAAGTTCAAACGTGCAAGCGCACTCTCCGACTACGGCGTTTTGCACAGAGGTGTTACCGTTTAAAGTGATCTATTTAAATATTTTTATTTTTGTATGAAAGTAAAATATGACGAATTATTAAAAGTCACGGAAGAAAAGCTGTTGGATATGATGTTAGTAATACAGGTTATATAATATAGGTTGTTTCTATTATACAAATAACCTTGTATGATAAAGGGAAAGGGATTATAGATTAGACAAATAAAAACATAAATAAATAAGTAACAGAAGGCTAAGCCAGAATCATAACGTCAGGGGAAAAACAGGAAAACACAAAAATCTTCAAATGAGTTGACGGTGACGGTAAAGGGGAAAGCAATGCGTATTTAAAAGCCAGTGGGGTATTTCTTTTTTCAAATTTCAAAAATCGAACAAACAAAATGTCGTTGTAAAAAACTAACCTATCACGTAAGATTCGATTGACTAGATTTTGACATTTAGTTTATTCAGTTTAGCAAAAACAGTAGTCCAGTTGGAGCGAAGGAATTTTTCTTGTTTCTTCGATCTTTTATAACAAAAATAATAAGAAACTAGTAGAGTACTTGCACAAAAAGTATATGAATATCATTGTAGTAAAAACATCCTGATATTCAATAAAATAAATATTGTAATTAGTACAGCGACATCTATATCAGTTTTCTGGTAGCTGGTAGTACCTGGCTGAGTGAAGAAATAAGTTTCTTACAGGTGACGCTACGGTAAAATCTTTAAATCTCTTTCCTGAAAAGTTATCATTTTGCAGATGTAGCCTTATTAGTTATTACATTAACATTGCGATTTGCCCAGTTTTGACAGTCGCGAGCAGGACTGGATTTAATGTTTCAATGCTCCTAGTCCATAGATTTATTTTTAAAATAGTTATTTCATTAATATTTTATTTATTTATTTATTCACATTCAGGTTACAAACGCCCATAAATACATACGTATAATTAATTAAGAATAATATATTTATTATATATAATAAAACACCAATGACCCAATTATTATTTACACGTATTATATGCGACGTGTAACGCAACGTGTGTGTCGGGTAACCGGCCTCGGAATCGTCGGTACATGACACCCTTCGGCCTAAATTCATCCTTCATGAAGGTCGACAGATATTGAGTTGGTTCTCTAGCCACAAATGTATTAAAATTCACATTGTGACGGGACCCCAACCACTCTACCCCCCGGGTGGCATTGGCTTTCACCCGTACATACTTCACAATATCCGCAGACTTTGTGTGTTGACTTTTGACACTTGTAACAACGTCATCGATGTCGTTGGCCGCAGCAAATGAGTAGGGCTAGTCGGGACCGTACTACTTAGGTTACAGCTGGCACGTCAGGGGGCGCTCAATGTCAGGAGACTCTCCCTTGACTTGGTGCACACCTAGGCCCTGGTCGTTAGAGAGACGATATGACATTGCACAATAGTCAAATTGTAATAACGAATAAGTTTCACACAGATTGCTCTACGGTAAAAAACCGTTTATAGTCAATACAAGGATTTGTTGCACAGAGAAATTCGCAAGAGCGTTTGAGCACTACGTCCGCTTCGTATCAGTTCCGAGTCCGAAAAATGACGGTCCAAAATGTCACAGGGATCATTTTATCTGTAGGTGTACAAGCGATATTCGTATTTTCTTGGATTGGAATCGGTTTCGAGAGTTTTCTAGATTTGTCTCAGATTCGGAACGAATGGGATGCAGTGCGTAAAAGCGCTAAGACCAGCTGATTTGATCTGTAGCTCAGTTGGTAAGAGCGGTACCCACGGTGAGGCAACAAACGCTCGAGTTCAGTCGGATTGAAGGAAAATTCGAACTCTGTATCAATAATAATAATGGTAATAGTATTTTTTTCTCACCCTGGTGCAGTGACAGTGACATTGTAGTCTCCAGGCAGCAAGAGTCTCCAATATGCGCCGTGCTGATCAGTCTTCACATTGTGCGTAATTCTTTCTACTTGTATTATTGCGTTCTGAAAAAAACACAAGATCTTTAAATATAGGTTTACAGGATTCAAGCGTAGTCCTTCCAGTAATTGCACGTATACATTTTTTTTGTGCTAATAAAACTCTGTTTATATTCGTACCATTTCCCCAGATAAGAAGTCCATAACGTAGGGTCGAGACTACATATGCGTGATAAACTGTTAACATGGTTGACATATTTGTTATATTACGCAAACATTTCAAGGCGAAGGCAAATTTGTTGATTCTTTCACAAACGTTTTTGATGTGAGATTTCCAATTTAATTGTTTATTAATGATTATACCCAAAAATTTGGTTTCGTTTAGCTCGTCAATATTCAATTCCTTATATCTAATTTGTAGTGATATTGATGTATTATTAAAGTTTATATAATTAGTTTTAGTTAAATTTATTTGCAAATTGTTAATGTCAAGCCATGTAGTAATTAAATTAATAGTTTTATTTATGTCAGCTTCGTGAATTTTAATTGTGTCAGTACAGATTTTACCCTTGGTAGTCACTATTATAGAAATATCGTCAGCAAACATTATACATTTATGATTGGTTACGTCAACTATGTCATTAATATATATAAGAAATAAAAGGGGACCTAACACACTACCCTCCTGGACTCCGTATCTGTTAAACTGGTAATCTGAAGTAAATGAGACCATCTCATTGTTTTTATTTAACCTAGACAGCACGACTTGTTGTTGTCTGTTACTTAAGTAACTTCGAAACCAATTCAAAGGGATACCTCTCACACCTAGAGCTTCCAGTTTTTGCATAAGAACGTCATGTGAAACGAAATCAAATGCTTTACTTAAATCAAAGAAGAACACTGTGGTCAAGATTTTATTATTAATTTTGCTTAAAACTTCTTTCCTTAAGGTAAAAGTGGCAAGTGTTGTCGATTTATTTTTTTGAAATCCAAATTGTTCATTGCGTATTAATTTAAAAATATCACAGTATTCACTTGAACGTTTGTGCATACATTTTTCAATTATTTTAGAAAATATTGGGATAAGAGTTATGGGACGGTAGTTACTAACGTCATTTTTGTCACCCTTTTTGTGTAGGGGTTTAATGATGGAAATTTTTAATATGTCTGGAAAAATTCCTGTCATGAAAGATAAATTAATTAGGTGCGTAAAAATAAAAATCAAGTTGTGAATGGAGGTTTTGATTACTTTAGTACAAATTTCATCAAATCCCTCAGAACTGGTATTATTTAAAGACATCACCTCCTTCCAAACTTCACTCTCAGTCATTAGTATTAAAAACATTGACTGAGGGTGGTTACAGAGCTTCTTTTGTCTTTTAGGCCTATCGATAATATCTCTTTCAGTTGTTTTTATAAAACATGAATTAAATACGTTATAAAATATGAATTAAATACGTTATTGTCGTTTTATTGTCGATTACCCATAAAATGATTTCTGTTTTATTCTTACTCCAACATTTCTTACTTTGTAAGAACGTCTGACATTAACGTAATTAGGGTTTTTACACATTTATAATCACAGTACAGAGTACTAAAAAAACCGACCTCAAAAGTACGTGGAATTACATATAATTACGAAGTTTTATTGAAATCGGTTACCGGAAAACGCACAAACCCGGATTCATCACCTAGTTCACCACTATACGGGACTTGCCACGCGGGTTCTCACTACCCAAAGTATATTGAGAGAGAAAAACGCCTTGAAATGGAGCAACAGCAAAATCAACCATTAAAATAATTGCTCCTAAATTAAAGTTAAGAGCTATTTATAAAAATGATTCTTCATGCGTGAACAGCCATCCTTAAAGGTGGATGATTTTCTTTAAAATGAAATGGGACCACTATGGAAGTACCCCATTTCCAACAAAAAAAAACATGAAAATCGGTTCACAAATACTGGAGTTACATAACGCGTAACATACAAAAAAAAGAACATACGGTCGAATTGAGAACCTCCTCCTTTTTTGGAGTCGGTTAAAAATACGATTGTTCTGCCCAACCTTTGAAAAAACTCTGCATTATTTTATTTATAATGAATATTATGATGTTTTTACGAGCATGATATTCATCTATTTTTAGTGAAACACTCCATTACTTCAACTGGACACGAACCAGCGATATGAGTGTGTGCCTTAGGTATTAATATTAAAACACTGGATTATTTTAGGGTTCCGCTAAATCAGCTGGTGTGTGTATTTTGTCATTTTCTCAAATTGTTATTTTTCGATTTCCGTCACTTTATTGTTCAGGATGAGATATGTAAGGATGAGTAAAAAATAACAAAAACAATAACCAGACTTACCGGAATGCCAGCGCCAGTGTCGTTTGTAACAAATCCCTTAATACCTAAATGAGTCTGCTCAATAAACGCCATAAGAGGCTCCTTGTTCATCCTCCAGAAACGCGTCAGGTTGCCGGCCGTGGGGTATTTGCAGCAGGACAGTTCAAAGGTTACTTCGAAGCAGTTGGAGTGCACGTAATTGAAATCTTGCATGCCGCCTGGAAGAAAACATAATATATTGCAAATGTGAAAATTGGACCGTAGCGGGTATTTCTGTCTCCCTCATGACCAGTGATCGAGGGAGTCAATGTAGCTAAACTAAATACCAATGTGGAGATCGACTTCTACGATCCTCGGACTTCTCGGAACTGATTATATATGAATATACGTATTGAAATTTGAATACATTGGCGACAAATTATTATTTCCTATTTAGTAGCAGTAGAGCTCTTTGCGACAAAGTTCGTCCAAGGTAGAACTAGACCCCCCCCCCCACGATTCGTGTCGACGCTGTGAGCGAGTTGACAATCCGCTGACGCTTGAAAGACGCTAGTGTGCCCCCACAGAGTATCACTAAATGTTTGCAGGTGGTCAACACGTGTAGTGTACATATTTACGTAGTTTTACACCGTTCACATTTGTAGTAACTGTAACTCAGTAAATAAATGTGTTATTTGAACAACTGTAAACATAAAAGTATCAATTCTAACTGTTTTAGCAGCAGTAGGGCTTCTCGTGAAAGTATTCGTCCGGTTTTAAAGGGTAAGTGTGCTAGTGAAATTACAGGCCACATGGGACTTGTCAACTTACGTTTCAGGGTGACGGGCGCAGTGGTAGTGCCCCTAAGATCTTTGCAATTTAAAGCTCTGAGTGGCACTGTAACTGTTATGGACAGGCGTGTAGCTGACCATCAGGCGCACGACTTGTTCGTCCCGTCATTTCACCAGCACCCTTAACCCTAGAAAACCGTGAAAGATGATGTTATTCTTACCTGCAACAGCGTACCAATTAGCTCCATTGGTGAGTCCATCCTTAAAGGTTTCAGGGGGACAGGCGTTTCCTTTGCTCATGTCAGCGTTACGCGATGCATATGTTTTTGCTAGGTGAATGAACAGCTCGTTGTCCGGGGATCGGCTATCTACGCAGCATTCTTGACCAGTACTGTAATTAAAAAGTTCCAGAAGTATAGGCTGTTAAGTTGCTTTAGTCCCGTCTGCCACCATTAACCGCTGGCACACGAAGTTGGAAAAGTACTTCACAAATTACAGATTTAATTCGGCGGACAAGAGTCTGAAAATTTTGGTCAATTTTTATAAAACTAAAAAGATAGATAATGGACACTACGCCAACTTAATGAAAACGTAAATGAAATTCGAAAAAAAAATGAAAAAAAAAAACAAATAAAAACATCGACGACGACGACTGACGACTAAAAAATGAAGTTGGCCTAGTGTTCATTGGTATCGAAATAATAAGTATAGAAAACAAATAAAAAATTACAACAATTTACTAGTTTACGTTCTACGTTGATTTTTAGAGAATAAAACAATGGTCTTAATAAAATATTTTATTTTAACATACATAAATAATCTATGGTCTATTGTTACTAGCGTATGAACAAAAAAGTAAATAAATAAACGTAATTAAGAGGAAGCATGCCAAAAAAGTTTTGACGTTGGCTCCGCCCAAATTTGTGAAACAAATATATCCGTGAAGTTTGCGTGACATGCGACAGGAGATGTTGAATTTTGCGCATTAAAAGTACCAAATTCGTTTACAAAACTCTAAAACTAAAGGGAGTTTAAAAAATTTTGTGACAGTTCTCGATCATGCATAAATATAATTAATTATCTAATTTTTGTCCTAATAACCTGTAGCATTTCGAGGATGAATCGAAATGTGAAAATTAGAGGTCATTCAGTGATTTTTATCTATCGAGGAAACTTTATTGTTTTATGTTTCTGATTAGTGTCTATGCTTGAATATATCGTGTAGTTACTCATATAATATTTTATTTTTAACTTTAAAGTGGATATACCCCTCTAAAATCAAATCGAAGATTAGGAATTTTTCCTCTGCTCCCTCTTAAGCACACTACAAAAAACATAAATTTACTTGTTGTAACGCATCTACTAACGATTTAGTATCAAGTGCTACCAACAGATGGCATTATATTTAACCATGTAAGAAAGTTGTTAACAGAATTAATACAAGAGACCAGAGAGGTGTTTTGTGAACTGTATTGATATCGAAACCTAAATGGTACGTCCCCACTTGTATCGATGTGGAAAACCGGAAGTGAGCTGAAAATCGTAGAAACCGCATATCTGTAAGGATTTGCACCTCTTATTTTATTTTGTTATTAATAGTTTTGGCTTGGATACAAGTCCTTTGAGCCATGTCTTCGTTTAGTTATCGGGATCTTCTGTAATATTTGCCATTGTAGTTCTAAATTCTAATACATTATGTTTTAACTTTCTCTTAAGTAACTTATTTAGCTTATTTGGGTTTATTAAACAGTCTTTTAAACGGCGGGAGTCAATATTTATGTTTTACTTTCACTTAAATCACATTATCTTCTATCATTTTGAACAATAACTTGAATTCGTAATTAGTGGAGTTTTCAGGATAAAGTGTTGCAATTTGGTTTAAAATACGGAATATAGTTCTGACTTTCCTCATTACTATTTCTTTTTTCGTTTATTCCTCATAATATACTTAGAATAAAAATAATCTTTGTAAAAACTGTACTCGTAACTTCAAAAACCTGCCATTTTTCCCTTTTGCACCCCTTAAGGTTTGTAAACAGGCTAGGGAATCACTACCAATGTTCAACCTATATCTATACCGAAAATTTCTTCGTTCCGAGACGAGATACGCACTCTAACTGCCGCCCTAACGGTATGATCCATATAATAAGCATCTTTTCAATTTCGGTATCATGTACAGCCGTCTATGCAGAGCGTGCATGGAGTGGGAAGAAACGGCCGTGCATATCCTTTTACAATGCTCCGACATGGCCAACTATAGTCTGTTCCAATCCATATTCAACAAAAAGTAAACAAATCTGATTGGTTAAATTTCTAAAGCAATCACTCAATAAATCGAATAAGTAACACTTTCACGTATATTTCGAAGATTTCGACTTGATATCTCATCATTTTTCCAACAATATTCATTTGAATAGCATCGTAAAAACGTATTTTGAAAAATGGTAGTTCAAAAGCGAGGTTATTTTCCATCTATGCTTCTATGATTTGTCTATGGTTGCATAGTGCTGTACGAAAAAAAACATTCCATTAAAGTTTTTGTAATCGATTGGTAAATCGAAAATTTCAATCGCAATCGAACGAGTATCTAAGTGTAAAGATTTGAAGGAGGGTTTAAAATTAAGATTTCGGAAATTTTAAATATGCTTTATGGGTTATGTAAGGAAAGTCGATAGTGTGATTCAATTATACAAATCGATTAATTCAATTAAGTAATCCATTTGTAGTTGGCATTACAATTGGCCATCACTAAACCGTCTATGGTCAGGTCAGTGACTTGACTGTTTACTTTTTGTTTAAAATATATTAAAACGAAGTATACACGACGAACTACCTTGGATGTCGCTCCTCGAAGTCTTCAGCAGACGTCGAGTTGCGGACACCAGGCATACCAACGGGTTGCACGGTGACCGCTACACGTCGTGTGACGCGACGGTTTGTTGTCGGCCTATTAGGACCGCGTCTTCACTGTATATATGACTTTGTTATGCTTTCTATTCGACGATTTCTACTTTAATGCGCCCGACTTCTACAATCTATATATACAGGGTGTCCCAAGGCTATGCCACACTGACAGAAAGTACCTGCCTTAAAAACCGTAGATAGAACATTTTACTGAAAGAAGATTTCACTTTGATTTTCAAAATCGTGAAAAGATAAACAAGTCAACAGGAACAATATAGCATCTTAAATAAAAGGAAGACCGTGAAATATTTAATTAAAATAATTAGGTACATTTAACTGCAACTTACAGTCTATGATTCATTTAAATTCTCAAAAATGGTAAGTAAATTGTAATACAAATTATATTTTATCGAGTTCTTAGGTTTTCGCGATTGTTACACATAGGAAATGAAACTGTTTTTCCGGATTTAAATGGCGTATATTTGTTTTTTCAAACAACTGACATGGTACAGTCTTCGAGGAAGACTGTATCACCTCAGTCAACCGTGACCATGGGACCTGTAAGGGGCCCGAAACATCGGTTTGTTTGAAAAAACTAATATACGCGATTGAAATCCGGAAAAACAGTTTCATTTCCTAAATTATATTTTGATTTTAGATTTGACATTGCTGCATCCTTACAGGGTTCGTGTTGATCTATACCAATAATTTAAGATCTATAAATGTAGCAACGTGAATGCAATAAATGTTTTGACTTTGACTTTATTTAAGTTATCAAATGCTCAAAATGTGTCCCATTCAACAAATTCTCACTCTTTTGATAAATTCACTTGCTGTCGATTTATTTATCTTTTCGTGGTGAAAATTTGATAATCTCAGTTGTTGTAAAGGCATTTTGTTGAACAAAATTTCAAATTAAATGTTAAATTTTGTGGTCTTTCATGACGAAAAAATATTAATCCCCTTATTTGATATCTAAATCAAAGTATTTACAAATATTAATTGTAAAAAATGACAAGATTTACGACAATTAATTCACGATTACTCACACACAAAACAATAAAGAAGTATTAAGTCGTAAAAGTATTTTTAATGGCTTGCCTTGACAGTTGTTATCCTTTATTCTTGAAAAGATAAAACTTTTTAAGACAAGTTTATTTACATTAATGATTTACTATTAGTGTAGGCTTGATAGTTAATAATACAAGGTCATAAGACCTTGGTGTGATAATTATTCTAATATTAAGAGATGAATATGGTAAATATCATAGCAGTGGTAAAGCTCCTTGTGATAGAGTTCGGGGTAGCGATGCGCAACTTTGAATGTTACTAATATATATCTAATATTTATCATTCGGATCGGCAAATCATTCGCCTAAGTCGAATCAAAGCACAATCGTACGACTCGCGTCGAATGATTACCGATACCGAAGGCATTCAGTCGAGTTCACGAGTCGAATGATTATTATGTCGGAACAGTTTAACTGCCTCGGTGGCTGAACGGTTAGAATCCTGGCCACGCAGAGGTCCTGGGTTCGATTCCCGGGCCGGGAGAAATATTTTTTATTATACAGAAAAAACAAAAATACATATAGTGACAAGAAAAAGAAACAAAACGTACTGCTTATTTCTAACAGAAATTTCTTCTTGCAGACTTAAATACGAGAGACGATAATTACAATAACGTCTACACGTGCACAACAAAAATCATGTAATAAAAAAAACAACATCAAAAATATTATTGTATGGCCTACATTTATCTCTCTCGTGAGTTTGTGTGTAATTTGTGGTTGCCTATGCGTGTGTCCATGGCAACCGCAACACAGGATTTCCCGAGAGCGGGGTTAGAAGTCTGCGCATTAAAAATAATATAATAATAACCGCGAAAGCCTTAATATCTATAACTCCAACAGATCATTCACCATCTCTATATCAAAATATCCCTGTCCTGGTCACGTTTATGGTATTTACCATACGTCGGAGAGGACTAGGCAGTAATGCTCTATGGAATCTATGGATAAGTAATACTAATTAGTAATTAATGATCATTCCAATCATTCGAACACGAAAATTAGTAGGTTACTTACTAATTTGTCATTCGTACGACAGGTTTAGTAAATTACTAAGGAGCGAATATCGACATCATTCGCAATCGCACAACGCTAGCCCAGGACAGTACCTACTATACCTATTTCTGCCGCCAAACAGTATTGTTCACATTACTGCGTTCTGGTTTTGAAGAGTACGGGTGCTGGTGAAACTACAAACATGGGATTTGTATCACGAGAGAAATAAATGTAGGCCATACAAATATTTCTCCCGGCCCGTGAATCGAACCCGGGACCCGTGGCAGTCCAGCAAGGTAACGGTCGGCCACGGAGGCAGTTATATTATACATATAATATTTTAAGTCTCAGGGTGACGGGAAAAGCAACACAGATCTTTGAGATTTAAAGCTGTGGGTGGCACTGTAATTGTTATACGTAG